TGTTCTTCCTGATGGCAAAAGAGGTTTGTTTTGCTTTGATTAGGACGGGACTGCAGCGACATCAAAGACAACCTTGTATCAGTAGTCCCCAAGATCCCCAGTGGCATTTATATCGTCCACCCAGAGAATACCGACTCTTCATTTGAGGTACATTATTGATTCAGTCATTCAAAGTCTGTCGCTCAATCATCAGTCATCCCTCAAAACACAACATGTGCTGCAGGTTTTCTGCGAGATGGACTACATGGGAGGGGGATGGACGGTGATGCAACGGAGGACGGATGGATTGACTGACTTCAAACGACCTTGGGCTGATTATGTTGATGGCTTTGGAAACCTTGCAGGTTGTATGAAGTTTCTTTGAACAGCGACAGAGGCATACTTCCTGTCTGTCCAAGCTTTAAAACCAACATACGGGGGAGGTTGAGGTTTGGAACAACCCAGTCAACTGTCAAGGCACACCTGACAGTTCATCCTATAGATGTTGGATAGGGTTGAGGTTAGGGCTCTGTGCAGGCCAGATAAGTTCTTCCTTTAATCCAAGAGAACATTTTAAGATGTGCTTGACAACTGTCTCACTTTGAACAAACCCTGCAAATGTTCAGTTTTTATTTTGATCTTTTCATTGATTATAGTAACGGCACAATCTCCATATTTATGTGTGTGTGTGTGTGTGTGTGTGTGTGTGTGTGTGTGTGTGTGTGTGTGTGTGTGTGTGTGTGTGTGTGTGTGTGTGTGTGTAGGAGAACACTGGTTGGGTCTGAAGAAGGTATTTTATATAACAAACCAGAAAGATACTCGGTTCCAACTTCACATCGCTCTGGTTTCCCTTGATGATGTCACCTCTTATGCATCATATGATGATTTCAGCCTGGACAGCGAAACCGAGTTCTTCGGTATACACCTGGGCAGATATGCGGGCAGCGCAGGTAAAACTTAATAAATCAAGTTAACCCTCAGTGACAAATGTTTTGCAAAATAATTATAAATGTACTGCGTAGCCTATATGTTCACGTTGACGTCTACCTGTGTGCATTTCTGTTTTGCATAGGCGATGCATTTCGAGGCTACGAGCAGGAGCAGAACCAGGACACAGCTCCTTTCAGCGCCTCGGATGTGGACAACGACGGCTGTAATCCTTTCTGCTCCATGGACAACCGCACAGTGGAGAGCTGCAGCACTCAGCACAACCAGACGGGTTGGTGGTTCAACCAGTGTGGTCTGGCAAACCTCAATGGCTCTCCTGCAGATGCAGAGCAGAACAGGGGCCAGAGGACGCACATCTTGTGGGACACATGGAGACATAACGGGGTCCCTCACCCCATCAAATCCGTCACCATGAAACTCAGGAGGATTGTAACCAATAATTGACGATTGAAGAGGAGGAGGTGGAGGAGAAGGAAAAACAGAGAGGGAAAGGAAGAAAGCATATATTGTATGAGTTGCACTGCATCTTTGAACAACCTGAAGTTTCAATAAAACAGGATTGAAGGATGAAAGGATGTCATTTCATTGTTTCACCTCAATGAAACCTGTAACCTCATATCTGAAAATATTCCTTAAAGGAAAGTATACCTTTTGACTCTTGAGGACAAATATACCTGAAAATGATAATGCAATCGATTACAACAACATCAAAGTCATCAGAAAAGTTGAACAAAAAGACAATTAAATAGAGTCAATTAAATAACTAATAATTGACAAGATTATTTCACTATACTATTAATAGGACTATTGCAATGGTTTGCAGTAGATTGTGTCTACTACATCTATGTATTATTATGTCTATCTGGTTTTGCAAATTATTATAATAAAGACAATTGCATTTTATTTGTAATGCATAAATGTCCAGTTTCTGTCATCTACTCCTTCGAGTAGGCCCACTTTATTGTTTGTAAGTTGTAACAAATGGCAACAATAAGGGTTCATAAATAAACTCCAGTCCGCCATTAATTAGAGCAACTTTGGGGTTGCCAAGTTGTGTTTTATAAGAGACAGGAGAATGATTTATTAACGAAACCATTAGTTACAGCTCATAACAACATTTATAAAAGGTGGCTTATTAGAAAATGGAAAAAATTGTAAATATGCCTTGGCATGGGCATGTAATTGTATCTATCCAGACTGTGAGGATATACCTAGAAGTTAGTTGGCCAAACTTTAACATACCAAGCTAAAGATTTAAGTAGTCTCCCATCCAGTCTTGTTTGCTGGGATGAAGCTGTAGCACCATGTTACACAGCTGAAAACCCTGGGGAGGTGATTCTTTTGATGCCACCACATCCCGGTTTTGAGGTCTGAGGTCTCATCTGAACCAGAGTCCTCTGCAGAGTGGGAGGGTGATCGCTTTTATCAAAACAGGAGAAACCCCAGCTGAGAGTTTTAGGGCAGCTGGCTAATGTAAGCAGCTCATATTTCAAACAACAATTACAACAAATATGCTCTGGCAAAATACTGGGCTGCTGTCAGAAAGATTGGGACAGGTTGTGTAAGTCTGTCATGAATTGTGCGTTGGACGAGTCAAATGTAGGCAAAGCCCACTATTCCTAAGTGTGACAGGCAGCAGCTTTGAATACATCTCAAGCTGAGTAAACCTGTACTGAGTCTTGTGACTGACTGACAGCAGTAGGTCAAGCTGCTGCTCCTTGTTTAGTGAACTTCCAGTAGATGGTGCTGTGAGACCTACAGTATACAGTGTACGTGAATATGTGTGTGCATGATATTTTGTCTGCAGCAGCTCCCTGCATTATTATACTAATACTATACCATACTATACTATACAAATACTGCGATTTCATCAGTAGTGGTCAAAAATCAGACCCAAGCTGTAATAAACTGGAATAATCCCTTCACTAACAAAGACCACAGCAATAAAGATTAAGATCTGGAATATTTTATTGTATGATGTGGATGGAGGAGAGCTGAGAATATGTAGGCAGAATGGATTAAGGGTCCAGATGGAGGGATGAGTGACGCAAGGATGGCTGGATGATGAGGCAGAGTGAGGGGTCAAGGGAAGTGGGGATGAGAAAGAAGAGTGAGGAGTTGAGGAGTCGAGGGGTGAGAATGAAGAGTGAGGGGTCGAGGGATGTGTGGATGAGGGTCAAGGGTATAGAGATGAAGATATGGGGGTGAGGAAAGCGTTGTAGACGGATGGATGGATTGAACACAGCCAATGTTAATGTTTCTACAGGTTAACATGTCCACAAGTCTATTCCCCTGCCATAGCTATTTTAACTTCACAGTGCTATGCAATGTGGGTTATTCCCTGGAGCAAAGTCTGTAGAGTTGCAGACATACCGAAATGTGCACAAAGGGCTCAAAAAGTCAATCAGAGAACATTGGCTGAATTCACAGTGGTTCAGCCCTGAGCCCTTGCAGACTCCATTAAAGTCAAAGTCTGTCAGTGTGTGAGGGTGGACACTGAAACCACCATGGTGATGGAATGCCTGTTGTTGGGTACAAGACCAAATACTGCAGGAGGGACAAGAACTATGAAAAACTTGAAATATTCCTACCAGATCTTTTCACTTTTTATTGACCTTCCCCACCAGTGCATCTCATTTTTAAAGCATTATGTAAGTAACCAGCATCTATATCAGTCTCTGAAATGTAGTGCAGAAGAAGTATAAAGTAAATAGAAATACTCAAGTAAAGTACAAGTACCCTAAAACTGTCCTGATTTGTGTCACCAACATTTTCCTCACCAAACCCCATCTCCTTATTTCATCTTATTTGTGCATAGTAGCACAAACAGATGAGTGTGTCTTTTTGTGTCATTGTGTCTGTGTGTGCGTTTTAGTTCCTCTGATTCTGGGGATAACGCTGTGGCTCTTTGTGTGGTCCGGTATGTGTATATTGCCAGGGTTGATGAATCAACATGCAGGCCCCCATACAAACAAAAAAGGTCTTTCAAGGTGCTTGTTCACACAGCTTCCCCCAATAAGAGTGTGTATGTCTGAGTTGACAGTGTTTACATCCAGATCTGGTCTGTTCTGTTCTGAGGAGGAAGTCTTAACAAAAACTCACTCTGGTGACATTTGTCAGAGTTTACCTCCTTTCACCCTGCCATCCTCCCTGTAAAATGTGCTGCTGTTATGTCATGAAACATCCAAAGTGACTAATCTTCAGCAATCAGGGCCTTAAAAGGCAATTTTTACTGCTACAATTGCACATCAGAGACTCTGCTTTATCAGATATTTTAATGTTGACATGTCTGCGTGACGTAAAAGGGTTGTTTTATGTAAAGTAAGAAAGAAAACAAAGAGAGAGGTAACAAAATCTGTGAAACAGCTAAATAAGGCTAAAAATAATGCACTCAAGTGCATGAGCTTATTTCAATACAACAGAGTGCCGTGACTCACCTTTGACTTGCTGGTGAGGAACTACTTGTGTGCATGCTTAAATTCACAGACATGCATAAACACACACACGCACATATGTATGTATATATATATATATGTGTGTGTGTGTGTGTGGAGTGGGAAGTCATTTTTCCCACACTGGACGGGGATCAGTGGAGAGTGGGAGCACACAGGAAGCAAAGTCTACTGGGAATTTAAACCCTGAGGAATCTCATCTGCTGTTCATCAGCCATCAGTAACTCCTGCACGCATACTCTCACACACTCACACGCACACACACACACACACACACACACACACACTGACCAAATTCAACATGTACTCTAAACACTGTGGTTTAAAATAGCATTTTACAGCCAGAGCATTCAAACTGTTGGCAAAGTAAATCAGAGAATATTCTGCTTTGTTTATGTACTTACTGTCTGCAAATTAGCCTGTATTCTCAAAACTAATTCAGAGAGTAATATCAGAATAAGAGTCTGTAGATTCAGCTGAACCAACCAATATAAAAATGGCCATATATCAACAGTGTATACCCTCAGTGTGTTCAGTTATAACACTGAGCTGCCCTCCACATCTGTAAAGTTCAATGTGTCTAGCAAATAAAAGTGTGGTGGGGTCCAGGATGATACATTCTTTCTCAAGCACACAGAAAAAACAGAGGGGTGGAGGGAGATAGAGGAAGGGAGAGAGATAGAGAGTCATACCACAGACACTTGATTTTTCGTTCATATAAGCCACAAGCAGCCCCTCCATTGTTCATCACCTCTGGGATGAACCACAGACCGCCAGGTGTTCATCATAACAGCCGACCTGCGGGTTACACCGATAGCCCCAGGGCTCGGAGCCGTGACAACCTGCTCATGTACGATGACTTTGGAGAGGAGAACTGTTGCTCTGGACGATGCCTCAGGTAAGTCTTTTATTTACATCCCCTTCACAGCCAGATGTGCATGTAGTGGGCAGGTGTGTTTTTGTGTTCATCTTCTGCAGGTTGTGTTAGAATAATAGCAGAATTATGGATAACTTTGTATTTTTTGCTATTTTAACATATCATGTTTGACATGTAATATAAACACTTTTTGTTCATTCACATGTAAAATTTAATAAATTTATTTTTATTAAATTATTTATTTATTTAAATATTCCACTATATTCAGTTAAAGCTACAATAACCTCAACGTGTCTGTAGCTACTTATCATATTGATAGTAAAAACCAAGTTGGAGGAGATCATTTTTAATGTTTGTGATGTTACACAATATCCCTTAAAAGTCTAAATTCTTCAAAAATGATCTTAATGCCACATTAGTATACTTTCCAACATTGCAGTTAACTGGAAAAAGAGATATTAGTTTCTGTGAATGAACGAATGGTCCATCAGCATGATACTACAAAAGTACGAGTAGCGATGTGGTCTCTCTCTAGTGTGAATAGTTTTTTTTATAGTTTTTGTGCACCATTGTGAACTAATGTGGAAGCACAACACATTTCCCTTTAAATTTTGGCGTGTACACTTTATCTTTATTGGTATCTATTTTTAGATTTGTATGCAGACATGGTTCATTAGTGATGTAGTGTAGTGTAGTGAAAATCTAAACTTGCAAGTTAGTATCTTATTCTAGTTCTACAACTATAAAAAGTCCTCGTTTGATTTTGACTAATGATGTTTTTGACTGCAGTGGCACTCTCTGTAGCAGTATATTTACTACATGCGGTCAAATAATGTTTATCCTCTTTCTGTCAAATATCAGAGTAGGCTATTTAATATTCACCCTTTTTTTTATGTCTTTCAGAGGATTTTCTTGTCAGGTATTAAATGTTCCCAAACTATACTAAATAAAAGCTTGCAGAAGATTACTTGGGATGTTTCTAAGAGAGGTGAAAGCTGTATTTGTTCTAGTATTAAGTGGACATACTCTAAGTAGGATGATTATATAATGGCACCTTAAACCCATAAAAAGCAAATATTTAAGTTGTAGAATGTGAAATTGAGATGAAACTGGGAATAAATAACTGAAGAGTGATTTGCAAAAGGTTTTAAGTGTGTGTGTATATATAAGTTACCATGTGGACAACTTTGTGTTTATGTCCCCTGACTCTCTGGCAGCCACAGCAGCTCTGAGAAACAGCTCATGGCTCGCCTTACTGCTGTTAAACGACGCCAGGCTCTTCGTGGCCCTGCCTACATGTTCTCTGCTCCTTCAATCAGCCCATCAGAGGTTGAGCAACGTTTCCTGGAGGCAGCTGAGTATGGCAACATACCGGAGGTGCGGCGCATGCTGCTCCATGTGCCAGAGTTGAACGTCAATGCTGTTGACTACATGGGCCAGAATGCTTTGCAGCTGGCTGTAGCCAACGAACATCTGGAGGTGACGGAGCTGCTGCTGGTGAGGCCGGATTTGGCCAGAGTGGGTGACGCCCTCCTGTTAGCCATCAGTAAGATGTGTGCATTTGTGGATGCCTGTAGGACTATACATGGGCCAAAAATACTGGAGCGATGGCAGAGAGCTGATAATGGAGCGCTGTGCAGGGGTCAATACTTTTGAATATGTCAGAGCTGGATGTGCAGCATGCTTTGGCTACAGATTTAATTTAATGTATCCTTTAATGGGCTCTTCCATCACATTTCAAAAAGCCTGCAGAGACTTTGTAGCTGCATTAACATGTTATTCTAGAACATCATGGGAGAGATTGGTAATCAGAAATAAAATGCACACACATGCCTTCACAGTAACCCAATAAAAGTGAATACAAATTTAGGGTACTGTCTGTGACACAGTAAACCATCCTTATTTTGGAAGTCAGTTTATGTAACCTGAACAAAATGCCACTAGTTTTTGGGAAGATAAAGCAACAGCACTGAGGTAAAGTCTCTCGGACTCAGAACCAGGTACAAAACCACAGCAACAGCTTTGCTCTGTGTTTGTGTCTGTGTTTATGTTGTAGGTAAAGGTTATGTTCGTATCACAGAGGCCCTATTGAGTCACCCGGCATTTAGAGATGCCCATCGTCTGACAGCGAGCCCTGCTCAAGTTGACATGTTGGATGACTTCTACGCTTATGATGAAGACGGGACGAGGTAAGACAGTTAAAAAACAGAGACATCAATAAAAATGTTATGCCCGCGAATAACACTTTAACAGTATGGAGAGTCATTTCATTTAAAACCACACCCAAACTGCACACCACTTATCCAGTTACCAGACAACCACTACCCAAACACCCAAATCACCCTATGCCACCACCCAATTGGACATTGTGTGCCACCCAGCACGATTGGAAACAAATTCAATCACCTCTCTTATAACAGAAGTAAGAAAGGCCAAAACCCACCTCACACCCTGCCTTGTGATTTCGGTATAATGTTTTGATAAATCTCTGTCAATAGACCTAGTCTTGACTTGGATTTGATTTCTCTTGTTGTTGTTGAATGGTTTATCATCCTCTACCCACCAAAGTGCTCAAAATATTGCCATCTCTGCTGACATCTGACATCGTCCATTTTTAATTCTAAATTCAGGAATGGTTACTCCAAATGCCACTTTCCCACACTCTGGATGCTTTGATCAATCTGTATAAATCTGTAAATATGAACATCATTCTTGTTGCAGATGAGACTTATCTTGACTATATCTCTTGATTTCTTTCTTTTATTATTCAGTATGCATAGATTACGTGCTAATTTGCTGTTAGGTAGATTTTGTTATCTTTGGACAGAGCCAGGCTAGCTGTTTCCCTCTGTTTCCAGTCTTTATGCTAAGCTAAGTCAGCCAGCTGCTAGTGGTAGCTTCATGTTTGCCACACAGAGAGACAGTGATGGTATCAATCTTGCGACAAGAAAGCAGTTTAGCGCATTTCCCAGAATGTAAAACCTTTTCTTTAACAAACACATATAAGCATATTCTATCTTAGTAAAGTCAACAATACCTAACACTTATCATGTGAGGAGGAGGTTGAAGTAGTGGATGAGCTAGGGTAGCAAACAGCAGCACAAAAGGTCGTGGATATGATTAGACATTACTAGTAAGGTGGTAGCCAAACTGCTGGTGAAAGAGCCAATGATGAAGCATAAATAAAAACAGCTGATGCTAATTATTTGTGGATGCTGCTATGCTATTCTGTTGGTTTTGAGAACGGAGAGGGTTATTTGGAGGAAAAAGCCAAGAGTTTTTAAAGATATTGTTAAAGATGTAAACATTTACCTAACCCATACTTTTTATTGGACCACTTTGTTAAAAATATGTAAACTGTGGATCCTTACAGTTAGGGGAAGGGAGAGATCGCTGGTTACTGAAAGCTATAAAACCCAGATGGTGTTTATGTAGAGCAGAGGACTATGAAAATCTGTTGTGTTAATTTGATAAATCATATATTGGTTGCTATATAAATGTTGACGGTCTTTAGGCTATGTTTATTTGTGTGTGTACATTCCCACAGGTTCTCTCATGATGTTACTCCAGTAATCCTTGCAGCGCATTGCCAGGAATATGAGATAGTTCACACCCTGCTCAGTAAAGGGGCTCGCATTGATCCTCCTCATGATTACTTCTGTGGCTGCGACTCCTGTAACTACCAGCAGCAGTTTGACTCCTTCAGCCACTCAAGATCAAGGATCAATGCCTACAGAGGACTCGCCAGTCCTGCTTACCTCTCCCTGTCCAACGAGGACCCGGTGCTTGCAGCCCTGGAGCTCAGCCACGAACTGGCCATGCTGGCTAATATTGAGAAAGAATTTAAGGTACAAATGTTGTTAAAGATCCTACAGAATCACCACCAGACACAGCAAATGTGATCTGCCTTGCACATTCAGTTTCTTTAATGATTGTGCACATTCTGTTAGTGTGCTGCTGTACACGTGCCCTGAAAACCAACACATTGTCAAGTACACATAAAGTATATTTGCCATGTCGCTGCCAACCAGCTGCCAGTAAAAGCTGCCAGTAAACACGAGAACATTTTTATGAGCTTTAAGAGAGGAAGCAGAAACAAACGTGTTGGTTTGACACACATATACCTGTAATTATTACTAGGCTTACAGTATGATAGTAGGCTATACTACTGGTACTGTACAATAAATAAATGTCACAATTCAAATGCTCACACAAATCATATACCACTTTTTTTGGTATATCAACAATTTTATGTCTCACATAAATAACTTTATTACATTTTGAGGTCTGCAAACCTTTCCAGAGGTTGGAACCACTGCCAGTTTAGTTGTGAAATTATCTTAAACAAATATGACTAGAGCCAAAATGATGGGCAACCTCTATCTTACACTTTGTGCTATTGCTTCTTTAACAGATGAGCATATTTCTCTTAAAACCTAAAACCTAAAAACTAAAATATGTTGCTTTTTACTGGTAGGATGTTGTCAGATGGGTTTGACATGCAGTTGATTACAAATCTGATTTTTTTAAGGTTAAAGTGCAATTGTAATAGTGACAATGACAAATTCAGTTTTCCTCACAGAATTGCATGCTGTTACTTAAAAACTCCATTACTACATTGGTTACCCCAGCATCAGACCACATCTCCTGCAACACATGTTTCACTCACTGATGCACATTTTTCTTCACTGTGTTCGTAGAACGAGTACTGCTGTCTGTCCACCCAGTGTAAGGACTATGTGGTGGGCCTTCTGGATCTGTGTCGCAGCACCGAGGAGGTGGAGGCCATACTGAGCGGAGAAACTGATTCTGAAGACGACTATAATCTACCAGGTCGCCCCTCCCTCACACGGCTCAAATTAGCCATCAAGTACGAACTCAAAAAGGTTAGTGTGCAGGAATAAATAGAAATAATACTTTGAGACTGATTTCCAACACTCTGGCCAGCCACTTATTACACATTTTGCCATTAGAACCTGACAGCAAGTAATCAATTGGTAGAGAATTGATTACTTGTTGAGTTGGATAAAAATCACAGTGAACATTTACACAGTTTATTTATTTTATTTGAGGTTCATGATGTGAGTCTGCTGTAGAAAAGCAGAAAAGTGAATTCACTATGATGTTAGAAAATCCATCCATAAGAAGACTATAAGAACACACTGATGTTGTCAAAGGGTTAATGTGTATTTGGTAGATTCTTGAACTAAAAGTCTTGATGTTGCGGCATCCTTGAACGTAGTTTTCAAAAGGGTTTCAACTGTCAACTACATCACTGCATGATGGTAACAAACTTAAAAACATGAACAAATAAAAGCGACCAACTTTCCATCAATTTCATGTTTATTTTATTCCACTGAAAATGATGGCTGGTAAAAAACAATATAGAAACTACTGATGTCTCTGGGAAAAATTTAATTATTACAATTAATGATGTAAAACATACAAATCTATTAATAGTAAATAAAAACTACATGGACCTTCATTTTTAAGATATTTGATAGAAGCTTGAGTCTGAACTCATCTGTCTTACTTTCTATTTTATAGATGTCTAATACTTTTATCAGCAACAAGTTTGTAGTGCAGAAACACTTAATGGACTACTTGATTCACAGTAAATTAATTTTCAGCTATTTTGATAATCGATTAAGCATTTTAGTCATTTATGAACTACCAGCTCTCAGTTTTGAGGATTCTTAGTTTTTACATTTACATTACATTTATTCATTTAGCTGACGCTTTTGTCCAAAGCGACTTACAGTTGCTATACATGTCAGAAGTCGCACGCCTCTGGAGCAACGAGGGGTTAAGTGTCTTGCTCAGGGACACATTGGTGGACAGGTCACAGTGGGATTCAAACCCGAGTCTCTCACACCAAAGGAAAGTGTCTCATCCACTGCACCATCACCACCCCAACAATGCAATTTGAATATATTTGGGTTTTGAAGTGTTGACCAGACGAAACAAGCATAAATAAACACCAGATTTCCCGACTTGTTTGCATCATGGTGATTTATTCTCACAGTGCATCTTTGGCCCGTTCCTCTTATAATGAAAGGATCATATTTCATTTTAGGCAGCAGGATATTTACTGTTAACACTTCACAGAAGCAATAATCATTTTGGCTTGAAACTGTTGTCTTGTTTTCTCATTCTGTCACCACCCTTTATATCCCTGTTTCCCACTGTGTTATGTCTTTGCTTCAGTTTGTGGCTCATCCTAACTGCCAGCAGCAGCTGCTGAGTATCTGGTATGAGAATCTGCCTGGCTTGAGACAACAAACCACTGCTGTCAAACTGCTGGTGGTGCTGGCCGTGGCTATAGGACTGCCTGGACTGGCTCTGGCTTACTGGGTGGCTCCATGCAGCAGAGTATGTTACATTTATGCTCACAAATGTCACTCACATGACATCCTAAATAGTCATTTAATTCTCCTGCAGGGCATTTTCTCTCATCCTCCTGTTGTTTCATCTCTCTCGCTAAGGTGGGGAAAGTCATGCGTAGCCCCTTCATGAAGTTTGTGGCCCATGCCTCATCCTTCACCATTTTTCTGGGTCTTCTGATCCTGAATGCTGCCGACCGTTTCGCAGGCACCACGCTGCTGCCAAACATGACCCACCATCAGCTCCCAGGAGGATCCCAACTCGACCCGCTGCTGCTCTACCGCATGACCACAACACCCTTCACGTGGATGGAGATGCTCATTATTTCATGGGTCATGGGTGAGTATTAGACCATCACGATGGAGGAAAGTTGTCATCATGAACCAAACATGATGTCACTCATTGTTTCACACATCATTTGACTTGTGCTACTGCAGGTATGATCTGGACTGAGGTGAAGGAGATCTGGAGTCAAGGGCCGGGGGAGTACCTGGTCGAACCGTGGAACTTCCTGGACTTTGGAATGTTGGCGATCTTTCTTGCCTCCTTCAGCTGCCGCTTCTCCACTCTGAGACATGCTGCCTTAGCCCAGACCTATGTACACACACACTACACAACACTGATTAATGTCACGCTGCCCCCCGAGATACACTACTTTACACTGGGTGAGCATACTAACACACCCGCACAGACTCACAGACCACCACACTTCGTTTAACCTTCATGTACATAAGAAGTTGCTGTAAGTTAGCACAAGGTGGTACATACAAGAGCATATAGCTGAGGTGACGTAATATAAAAATGTGATTAAACAGACCAATTTTAGACTGATCCAATTCACAAAAGCAGCATTTTTTGAAGGCAAATCAGAGAAACAGTTGCTTAGTTCAGTGGTTCCCAACATTTTTGGCTTGTAACCCAATACACACAGTCTACCCATCAGACACAGATTGGACATTGTATGTGATAGGAGGATGCGTTGGAGGCCAGAAGGGGAAGAACTACCCAACAAACATATTTGTGTTTTCAGTTTTTCCTTTTTTTAATCCTTATAATCATAATAAGTTGAGAATGTGAAATGCCTAATGTAACCAGTTTACTAAAATATACTCTTCAATCTGCCTCAAAAGCACAACTGCAGCCTTCTTTGTAAGACTTGCCATTCAAAAAGTAGTTGTGTACAAAAAGAAGAGAGCCAGAGCATAATTATTGAAGTTTACTGATTCACGCTCTGCTTTTTTTTGCAGCACGGATCTACTGGTTGCCGTCAGATCCCCAGCTGGTGTCGGAGGGCCTATATGCGGTGGCGGTGGTGCTGAGCTTCTCTCGGATTGCTTATATCCTCCCAGCCAACGAGAGCTTTGGCCCACTGCAGATCTCTTTAGGGAGGACCGTCAAGGACATCTTCAAGTTCATGGTCATCTTCATCTTGGTCTTTCTTGCGTTCATGATCGGCATGTTCAACCTGTACTCTTATTACCTGGGGGCGAAGCAGAATGATGCCTTCACCACGTGAGACGTGCATATTTACTGTACACACCTGCATCTGTTCACACGCGCTTTTAAATTTTCTCACCTTCCAGCAGCTAAGAAAATCATCTTGCATAGACTTAAAGATTGCTTTTGCGGTATGCAGGCCGCTCCCCCAGGGCCCCAGAACCCAAACCCTGATAAGCCCCCATAAAACTTTGTTTGGAACCTTGCACTACTTTGGAAACTTGCACAGTATCAACATACCAAAACACAACATAAAAGCATCAGTATTAACCTTGATGTGGGTCACACTATTGCCTGATTTTACAATACTCACATCATGGATAATAGAGCACCTTTAATCAAATACACTGACAAAGATACTTCAAAATAGTGCTTCATCAACATTTTCTGGCTTGTAACTCCTTAAAAATGAGGCTGTGTCTACTTGGTACTCATACTCGTATCACAGATTATGGCCTTAATGTGGATAGGAGATGTCAGCAGTGAAAACAAAAAGTGTTTTTTCCTTCTTATTTTAGTATTAGTATTTTTTTTGTGAAATATATCCTGTATTTTAAAATAAAGGCAAAATTACAGAAAGGTCAGATCCAAAGTCAAATAAAATAGAAACTCAGATTTACCTTGGGAACCATTGCAGGTGTCCTGACCCCCTGGTTGGAACCACTGCTTTACAGATTTTCACACAGTTATAATAAATAGGAAAATAAATATGATAAGGTGGACTGACTTACCTAAGAAGGTTCTAAGTCTTTGTAAGTAGATTTTCATACTGTAGTAAAATGAATGGAAATCAATGACTGCTCAAAAGCATGGGAATCAATCTAAAATCAATGATATACTTTGAAATTGGTGAGCAGTGATAGAAACTCTGTGTTGAACGTTGTAAGAAAACGGCCTTAAAAGCTTTTTTTCCTGTTGCTCTTCTCACAGAACATCTCAGGTCTGATGATTAATGGTTTGTTTGAATTCAAAAATAACTGTTCCTCTCTCCCTCCTCCATTTCCTCCTCTGTGCATCCGTCCAGCCTGGAGGAGAGCTTCAAGACGCTGTTCTGGGCTATATTTGGACTGTCTGAGGTCAGGTCTGTTGTGATCAATAATGGACACAAATTCATTGAGAACATTGGTTACGTGCTGTACGGGGTTTACAACGTCACCATGGTTATTGTGCTGCTCAACATGCTCATCGCCATGATCAACAGTTCCTTTCAGGAGATTGAGGTTTGTCATCAGAACCACATCATGTGCTTCAGATACAAGCTCAGCGGCCTATTCTTATAAGGTTAAAATGTTTCTTCAGTTTTTGGTGGGAGAGGAGTAATGTAAAAGTAAAGTAGTAGTAAAAACTGAGGTTAACCACAATATTCAATATACACAGAGTTTATTTGTCACTGTCACATTAAGATTTAACACTTAAGATTTAGATTTGACTCCTCTGAACATTTGAACACATTTAAACACATTTTGTGAATGGATGAGACTTCGATGTAATTTTCCTAATGTTTAGGTGAATAGGTAAATCATCTCCTGAAAATCTTTCAAACAGAAAGAAAACTAAAACAGTAATTAAAACAGTACTGTCCTTATTTTTACATCCAATAGCATGCCATTTTATTACCATACTACAGAGTATATTCTGATCTTGAATCTAACAAAACTGATTTGAAAAGATAAGGAATTACACCAATTAATTACTGCAAGTATTGATCACATGTCAACTGGTTCCTATTTTATGTACAGAATCTACCTACACACATTTTTGATCTATAAAAAATCCCTTACATTCACAATTGCCTAGAGTAACATAATAAAACTGATACCACTCTCATGTTTGTGCGCAGCTGATTAACTTAGCTTAGCTTAGCACAAAGAATGGAAACAGCGGGAAACAGCTAGCCTGGCTCTGTTGCCTGGAGCAGTGAGGTGTTGTTGTTTCATGAAGCGATGGCTTTTTATATATTATTATTATTCTTTTGTAATTTATTTGCAGCTTTGGCAATATTGTTGTTATATATTCATGCCAATAAAGCTGATTTGAATTTGAATTTATATACAAAAGGTCAAAATTTAAACTTCACTGTGACATCATGATGTTCATGAACGCAATATCTTAAGAACGCTGTGAGGGAAATTTTTCAAATTTGGCACAAATGTCCACTTGGACTCAACGACTGATTTGTAGGTCAAGGTCATTGTGTTATAATAACGTCCTGGAAAACATTTTGGGCCGTTATTCAACACTATAACTCAGGAACAGAAGGGAGATTGTGACCATATTTCACAGATAGTCAGACACTCAATAAGTGACACTTTTTACTCAAAGGTCAAAGGTCATTGTGTTGCATGTTGATTGGGACAACACAATGAGTAAACAATAGCTAGCACAGTACTTGCTTTCCTCCATCTTGTCACTCACAGCCTCATTATGAATTTCAAGCCTCATCTAAATCACTAAACTGCTAACAACATATTGGAGCGTGCCTAGCTAATCATAATCTTGTGAGTGTGTGAGTTACAGCTCATAGAGAGGAAAACATAACCACCATATTTTGTGTAGCTATATTTATATTTATAATACACATTTACACAGTATTGAGTACATGCTTACCTGTTCAACCATTACATTTACGATGATCCTTCATTAATCACTTCAACAATGTACTGTATTCACTGGAATTATACATATGTATCATCAAATACACTACATGTATTCACTATTTATAATGTATGAGTCTGGACGGAAATGGATGTAAACTGCAACTTCACTTGGGGCATTTCTTCCCCTTTTCTTTAGGATGATGCTGATGTTGAGTGGAAGTTTGCTCGGGCCAAACTCTGGTTCTCGTACTTTGAGGAGGGAAGGACGCTTCCTGTGCCCTTTAACCTGGTCCCCAGTCCAAAATCTATTCTGGGTCTGGCTATGGCCATCAAGTCCTTGCTCCTGCAGTATGTGGTAGGACACCGTATGGAAAAAACTGCGACACAGCTCAATCAGGTACAACACGGAGAAATACACACAGAATGTACATTTCCTCAGCTTGAACAGTAGTGATCATAAAATCAAGATGGAGCTTTAAAGGCAGAACGTGAGCACCTCCCAGTGGTTGTACTGCTGCACCATAGGCTCCACCTGAGAGCTGAACTCAAGTTTAACCTCAGAAATGTCACAGTTCTGTCCAATGAAGTTAATTTCTGCTTGATCTTTCAGCTCGGAGAAGAAAAGAATTCAGGATTTGGTGCTTCTACAATTCCAACCAGATATCAGGTATGTGTGTGTTTCACAACATATCAGATACAAACACATTTTTGACTTTATATTTATGCGACAGTTTCTTATTATTCAGCAGAATTTTTATACACAAAACAAATGAAAAACTCACATGATACATTACTACCCAGCATTAAACAATTACAAAACTTAGGCATTTCTCACATGGAGCAATGCAGCAATTGAATTATTTTCTGAAATAATCAGTACTTCTGGATCTTATACTTTTAAACTGAATAAATATTTTCCCATTATAGTATTGTTAATTGTACTTGTTAAAAAAATTTACAAACTTTTTCCATCACTGGTTTCAGAAGATCATGAAGCGACTGATAAAGCGTTACATCATCAAAGCCCAAGCAGACAGAGAGAGTGACGAGATAACTGAAGGTAATATCAATAGACAAGATACTAAATAAAGCTAAGCTTGTTTCAATTGCTAGAGCCATTCTGGAAATTAAACATTTCTTTAATGCTTTTATGTCTGTTTTTCAGGTGAGCTGAAAGAGATCAAGCAGGACATCTCCAGCCTGCGGTATGAGCTGCTAGAGGAAAAATCCCAGAACACGGAGACACTGGACGGACTGCTGAGGAGGCTGGGAGAGATCGGTACACCTTCATAATAGCACTGCCAGTCACCCTGACGTGTACATTTAACTGTACAGCTCAAAGAGTTTTAAATTCTTAAATGCCTGCTCTCTATCACTGAATGTAGATACAGTACAGTAGTGATAATACAACAATGAATGTGTGTATACGAATATACAATTAAACTGTAGCTTGCTGATAGAATGATTGAGTGCTTTTTTAATAATTCATGAAAAATAAAAAACAACAAAGAAATCATATAATCTGGATAACTTCTAATTGTTATTTTAAAGATTATCAGACCATTTCTTCCTCCTTCACCTACCAAAAATACAGTCCATTGTAATCATTTTAACAACATTCGCATACATGGATGCATTAGTAAAATGAGAATACTTTTCTTAAGTACAAAAAAAGGCTGTAGCTTGCCAACACCCCCATATTTGGAATCTAAAGAATGATTTAATAAATCAGCCAGGGTTGTTTTACACAGTGGTATGTGGAATTACAGGGACATCTCTAGTGAAAACTGTTTATTATGCATTTTCCTCAAGAAAAACAGAATAATTACAAACACAAACTGAATCTACATATACAAACTGGTACAAGTATTTATTTAGACAGCATGAAAAGTGACAGTAGAAGGAAGGTGTCAAGGCAGGATTCAGCCTTGGATCACCAGTTTATACTGTTTCAGGCTCAGAGGTGTGAACACTTCATCTCCAGTCTGGACACACAGCTATAACATTAATATGATTATGTACAAACATATAAATTACCAAGATTATTTCCATGTACCTTGTTGACACATATCATGTATTTATAGCATTCTGAGAATTGCAGGAAGACAGCTGAACACAAACATAAAAGAGGAGCTGGTGTTTGAATGGAGAAAAAGTCAGATTTTACCTTTACTTATAAACTGGTTAATAACAAATAACATAGTCCACATATAGTACTCAGATATACATTCAGTATTACATATATATACACAGCATTTTATCCTGCCCCAGTAGTTCAGTGATAACAGTCACAGTTACATGATAAATATATTATATCTTTGATCAGCAGCACAGAGTATCATGCTGCGTTCCAGACTGCTGGGAACTCGGAAATTTCCGACTTCCAACTAGAAAAAGTACCATGGAATGCCACTTGAAGTCGGAGTTCCTACTTGTTAACTCTGAGAAAAAATATGTACCCTGACTTCACGAGAAGCAGCTGAATGACGTCACATGCAGCTCCCATGGAAGCACACATTGTAAATGGTTAACATATATCGCTTGTTTTCATTAGAACAGCCATCCTTATAATTAACACCAAAGGCACTGCTGAGGGTTCAATTGTGTGTACAAAGCCATGTTTTTCGCTCACTTTTGGTGTCATGCACCAGCATGCACCTGCAACGCTTTGAGGTCGGAAGTCGGACATTTCTGAGTTGTGAGCAGTCTAGAACGCAGCATTTCTCTATGCACTGTAGATCCCTGAAGTTAGATCGTTGTGTTAAGACGTCACATGTAGGTGATGTAGTTTTCAGGTATGAGGCCTGTTTTGCCGTTGTACGTAGCCTGAAGCCAGCCTGGTTCCACAGACGGGTACACTGCAGACACAAACAACTCAACTCAGCAAGTCAACACAAGGAGAGCCTTTACATATTAAATGAAGTTTCCAAACATGAAAATTTTTCAAAATGAATTACGGGAAATGTGTTAAAAATAAAGCCATAAACTATGAAAACATAACCATTTTGTATTTTTCTGAGAATCCTTGGAACAAATCAATGAAAGCGTAGGTAACGTTGGAGAAACCAGTAAGAGACGGCCAGATTTTGAAAGTATCCACCTGAAAAGAAATCCCACCCCCTGTACTCATACACAATGAAAGCATGGGCAGAGTGGATGCTGGTAGGCAGGTAGACAGACCGGTAGACCAGCCAATCATTTCATTCAGACTGAATAAAATGACTGGTGTGCTTATTACAGTCCTGCAACAGCCACAGATACTGGATTTTTTTCATTTGTGTGTAAGAGCATTTGATTTATTGATTGCTGTTGGGATGTAAAGAGAATTTCAACAAATAAAACAAATAAATTGCCTAACCCAGTTTTAGCACCTAACTTTAAAGTAACAGAACATTTTGAGGGAAACATTGAGAAAACCGAAAGTTCTGAAACAATAGGTTATTATTAAGGAATAAAAAAATAGTTTTAATAGTTGTTTGGCACTAAAATAGTTTTAGTGCTAAACAAGTTGATTAGTCACTTAATTTAGTTGATCAGAAAACTGATTAATTACAATTTTGCATTACATAGAGAATGATGTTAAAATGTGATCTGTACATGGTTACATTGTCTGGAAAAATGCAGTGGGATGGGAATGCGATCAGATTATCCAGACCATATTTGAAGTTGGTCAGTCATTGTGATCGGATATCAGTCAGGTGGAAAAGCAATCCACACATCGAGTCCACATTCTTAAGAAAAAAGACAACCCCACCCCAGGCACAATAGAAATAATGAGCCTTTCAATACCAGGTGGAAATGAGAAGAGCCATGGATCAGATATTAATATACACATAACTTAGCCACATACAGATCACATGATAATACCAGGTGTAAATGGGGCCATTTGTGAGTGGGTTTCTTACCATTTGAGAACAGCGCCCCCTGTGGAAAACTGAGCTCATGGCTGTGCTCTGCCTCACAGGAGTACAGAGCTTTTGCTTCCCTAAGAAAATAAAAGTTGAATCGGTAAAAAGGAAGTGAGTTAAGGAAGGAACTGTGACACAAACAACCTGAAAATCAGCATACCTTCCTGATATGTCTAATGCTGAGGAGAATACTGAGCTCTCACGCTGTGGTGGTGTGACTGATAATCTGTAACACACAAACACAAAATTGGCTCTGAATACATTTCCTGAGAAAAGTAAAACTTTAACCTTACCTTAAAGTGTCACTCTCATCAAATATGTTTTTTAATATGCAGTTTTCACTGCCAGCATTAGTCATACCTTTAAGTTTCAGTAAAACCGAAACAGTGGTAATGAAAGTTTCAGAATTTCATCCATAGGTAATTGAGGCCAGGAGAAAACTGATTTCTTTAGTCCGCCAGGTGATCTTTTATAGGAGAGCCTTTCCCGATCTTATTTGACTTTATTTTATCCCTTTTATTTTATTGTATTTTACTAATTTTATATTAATTTTTCATGCTCTTATCTTTTTTTGTATTATTCTTTACACTTGTTAAAGCACTTTGTAACTTGTTTTTGAAAAGTGCTCTACAAATAAGGATTATTATTATTATTATTATTATCTTGTTTTCTCCTGGGCGAAACTAACCATGGACTGAGATCTATTTTCCTTCTCAGAGTCAAAGGCTGAAGCACAAAGTAAATGCTGTATGATAAAATCTATTTTACAGACGGTCACTCACAGTGATCCAGGCTTCTGGTAACCGTTGCTGGATGTGGTGGCTGCAGAGTGTTTTGCGGTCAGATCAGAGCCACAGCGGATGTGTGAAGGTTTACGTATGCGTGTTGCCTCTTGTGGGTCCAGCGACATGAGACTGTGTACTGATCCATGACAGCTTTTGTAATCTGCGATGGAACACAAGAAATGAGAACCAAACATAAACAGGGAACGGACAGACACTTTTCACACTGTTATCACACTTTATGCTACAGAGATGTGCGCACCCTCAGAGATGTGTAAGGAGGTGAGAGAGGAGGATGTGGAAAGCTGGTAGGGAAATAATGAAGAGGAGGAGGAAGAGGAGGAGGAGGCAATCCTGTGAGTTCGTCTGTTCTGCAGAGAAGGAGAGGTAGAGTCCGTCACCCTGGTTTCTGTGACAGTGGAGGGGGCATTTTTTGGATCCACTGAATGAGTGCTCTTCAGAGAGGAGACAGACGACACTCTCTGAACAGGATGACCCTCCCTCAGAGAGGTGGCGCACTCCTCTGAACAGTGCTGGATGGAGGCGGTGGACAAGGAGGCTATGGAGGGAGATCTTGACTCTTTAACAGATGACAAGGAGGCAGTCGAGTTTCCTTTGCCGGAGAGAGCCCTCTCTGTAGAGAGTAAAGAGGATGTGGAGGAAGACACGGAGGAAGTCTGATGGGCCGGAGTGGGCTGGGAGGAAGTCCAGGAAGAGGAAGGCGTGAGGTGAGGGGAGGCGCCGCTGTCTGTCGAGTGTTTCTGATGCTTCCCGTTTGAGGAGTCGTGGGACGGGGAGCAGGAGGAGGCTGCAGGAGGAGACAGCTGTGCTGGGGAGGACGAGATTTGTTCGGCGGCAGGAGAGGAAGGAGGAGAGGTCGGAGACAATCCGTTCTTTTCAGAGGAGTGTGAGGACAGAGACTCCTGGCTGCCCATCGGAGTTGTGCTGGGGCTGCTACTGAATGTGTCGCCTGGTGGGAGAAATGACAATTAGTCACAAAATATAGAAACTGAATGGCTAGTGCTCAGGGATTGCTGAATGCTTTGAGGACTTTCCCAATGCTAGAAATGAGTAATATTAGTAAATTAGTAGTGTAATATATTACAGTCATTACAGTATTTTCCAAAGTGTACAGTTTTGAGACTTATAGTCTGTCTTTTTTAATTTCTTCTTTTGACAATGTCATTTTATAATCTCAGTTTAGTGCACAGACTGATTAAAAAAAACACTCCTCTATGTTGGTGCATTAAGGGGCTTGGTCGAAGCTTTAATGTCTGAGTTATGAGAGTTGGCACGGCACTGCACTGCAAAACAGTGAATATGCAAAAAATGAGTCCACTAATGTCATGATTGTTGAAAATCTTTCTGCTATTAAGCTCAATTTAAGACTCACTGTCATTGTCTGCCAGGCAGAGAGCAGGAGGGTAGAGACGGGCCTTCCTCTTTCCAGATGACAGACAGATGGCCTTGCTTCTACGAGGAGTCGCCCGAGAGGACTGAGGCGACGGCACTGAAAGGTCCGGGGCCTCACCAAAAATCTGACAGGAACATACATTGAACATGTCTATCAGGGGTGTGTATGATTATGTATGTGTGTGTGTGTGTGTGTGTGTGTGTATGTGGATTTGTAAGTGTACCTTGTTGTGGTTTTCAATGATAATCTCCACTACAATGTTCTGAAACTTGATATTCATCATGGCGGCCACTGTCTCTTCCTGTGACCTCATCAATGTGGGGCCGAAGATCATTCCCAGGTTGGACACAGTCATCAGGTTCTGGTCACTGTGAGAGGACACCCTGCACACACGCACACGCACACACACACACGCACACAATGAACATGTATTCCTAATATATTATATAGCACAGAAATAGGAGAAGATAAGTTTTACAATAAAGTTTAAAATACATCAGAAACTAAAATGAGTAAAATATTGCAAAAAGTAATTGCAACCCAAGTTTCAGTACATGTTCTCCTGCTAGTTTAGCTATCAGCATACTTCAGTCATAATTATTCATGAGATTTTTGCATGAGATCTGTTTCTCTATTCAAAGCAAATAAACATTTCTTAAAAGGTGTCCGTTTTAACCGCAATCTGTAAAGGCATTCACAGCCTTTAAGTTTAGCATTAATTATCTTGTTATCAATTATTTCATGGATGGATTTTACTCTTCAACTGTTTCAACAAGCCAGTGTTTTAAATGTTGCCTTCCTTGCAGACAAATCGACTGTACTGAAGCCAAGAAGGGCTTCATGGTGTGAGGCTGACATTCTTGCCTAATTGTCAGAAAATTGTAAACAGGAAGTTGTCACTGCAAATGTCCCCTGGCTAAACGCATATTTGCATAAACCACTGGTTAAAGCATTTTTAAATAAATGAGATGATATGCTCTCAAAACTGAAGGCACATTCCCAAGTCACTGAACAATAAAAGCAGCATGTGTTAATATGTACATACTTGAGGAGGTGGTTGGTTAAGAGGTCCAACATTGTTCTGTTTTTTTCTGGTAGCTTGTGCACAAGAGCATGGATCGCTCTCACTCTATACATCTGGTCATCATACTCTGTGAAACAGAGAGTAAACAGGGAGGGATCCAGTGGTGAGAGGGTGATATAATGTGTTTCTGCTGCACGACATCATTGTATGATATTTGGTCATGTTTGGAAAGGAGGCAGCAAGGTATCTTACTTGCAGCCTTGATAAATTCTTTATGCAGTCTGTAGGTCAGTAGTGGTTCTGCCAGACACCTGTGTGCACATTAGAAATCATGAATTCATAATTCATGATGAATGCGTTATTCAAAAACACTTGGCTTTGGACTGTTTGTTACCTGAAATAATTCTTTAGGCCGCTCGTGATGGTCTTGGTGTCCCATGCATCTGTGTCCAGCTGCATGTCAGAGGGAGCTGTGGATGCTACAGGAAAGCAGATAATAAGTGATTCATCTGCAGTGATGGATTTTTATACACACTTGCGATTCACAGTGCAGAAAAATCACATCATACAGAGGAAAGCAGGGCATTTCTTACCAAACACACTTGTCATCAACCGCTGCACTTTGGAGTTGACTCCCCCAGTCCTGTACAAACCCAGGGTGGTAATCCCTACACACACGCATACAGACATGTTAACATATTGATAAATCAACAATGCATTCAATAAACGATCATTTGAATTGTTTAACATTTGAAGCAGGAGGAATACCTCTTGATTCAATCAGCTCAATACACTTCTTCACAAAGTTGAGTCCCGCCACATTAAGAAAAGCTGTAAAAATAAACACTCACATTTTTACCTACATTTCTGCTACATTGCAGGACATATTAATATATCAATAAATATAATATTTTGAATAAAAGCAAATAAAAAATTACATATATTAGGATACTTACTCTCCTCCTTTTTACTGAGCAAAGACGGCAGAGTGTAAATCTGAGCAAAGACAGAAACCATGTTTAAGTATGTGTCAGTATGACAAGTCAAACAATACCTTCTAATAAAAAGTTACCCTATGTTCATTTACTTCCTGATGATACTGTAACATCGAGAATATTTATTTAATGGTGGATATATTCTTACAGGCTCTTTTCCATCCATTGCCTCCATCCACAGCCGCCTGTTGGCCTCGGAGAGCGCCTGCAGGGTGATGACGCCATGTCTGCAGAGAAAGACAGATAATTTTACCCGAGCACAACCCCAACAGAAGCCACATCTCCATGTATTTATCCAACAGGTAGCCATGTGTACTGGACACACCTCTCCACCACCTCTATGTCGAAGCAGAAGCGCTTGTCGATTGAATCCCTCTTCCTTCTGACACACGAGCGCAGCTTGAACATCTCCGGCGAGCCATTCACCACGCCGTTCTGCTAACAGAGAGACATGTTTGCAATATGCACGCAAAATGTGGAGTTAAGGTCTTGTAAGGATTCAAAGAAACTGGGTTGCTCAATACTTTTAGGACCATATTGGTGTTTAGCCCCTGAACTATTCACATCCTACTTTTCAATTTGTGTCAAATTCAATAATAACAAAAAGTCCCTGCTTAAAACTACCATATGAATATAATGTAACTAACATCTGTGTAAGTCGATTTTCATTGTGGATTTTAAGGCTAGAACAGAATCAAATGCCTGTGTGGAACGCAGGAAACCATGGCATGGTTTGGAAAATGGTCAGCAGTGATGAAGCGTATCTGTTACAGCCTGTCTCTCTGTCAATCCTCTTCAGCCACTTTCCCGGCTCCCCAGGACCTTCCATTGCCATTTGTTTATTGTTTAGGACTGCCTCTCTGTCTTTGCCTATATATATTAAATATTGTTTTCTAATAAATCATTGAACAGCATCTGCTCTGCCTTTATCATCTGCATTTGGGTCCATCCCATGTTGCTCCGCTCATAGCAGCCGTGACAGTATCATGATTTTTAAAAAAATGGGCTAAAACACTGAACAACATTAGTGTGGTTGTTCATCTGTGCAAGCAGCTCACCTGTCTGCTGGCTGGTCTGACCTCTGTGTTGCTCATGGTGAACATCTTGGAGCTTTTTTCATAAGTACAGTAGTATCTGGTCCACACACTGCCCAACGGACCTGTATTACACGACACATTTTCTTGCAGGTGCCCTTGTGCATGTATGTGTTTCAATTCTGGCATTTGGTTTTCTTCACAGCATAAGTGAGGGAAAGAGACTGAAAAAATGTGATTTTTGTGTATCTCACGTTTCTCCTGTATGTACAGATATCCTTCCATGGTAAAGCAACTGGGGGCTTTGAAGTCTTCTTCTGCAGACCGGATCCTCTTCATCAGCCTCTCAACCTCAGCACGCGTACTTTCAAAGTTATTTCGAGCCTTTTTGAAATATAAACACACAAGAAACTGCATTGAAAAAAGGCATACATAGGCATGCACACATATTTAAATGAAACATTTGAAAAGGTTAGCCAGGGAGTGGTTACTTAGTACAGCTGAGAATGTTGCTACAAGTCTGAATACAGGTAGCTTTATTACTGTACATTGATTTCTCATTTGCATGTATTCATTCAAAAGAAGAAAAAACATCTAAGACCCTGAACCTTGAGATTGCAACAGTGATGTACACATTTTCAACTTATAAAGAGGTAAGACTGCATTTTAATTTAGACATTAAGGGACAAATTGGGGGGCAACTGAAAGGACTGATTGTGAATTTGTGCAAATTGGACATACCATGATTAATAGCCCAAGCCTTTCTTTGCCAAAATCACTGAGTTGACCCTGCCTATATATGGGACAGGCCTTTAATTCCTTTCACACAAAACTCTCACTCAGCAAAGATGTGAAATAGGCTATATACTATCAAACCGTTTATTTCAATATGATGTATGAATATTACTTGAATAAAAATTATTACAAATCATTCATGTGATCTAGCTCTGACAGACGGCTTAAGCACTTTTATTTTGAAGACAGCAAGGTAAGGAAAACAAGCACACCTAGCATCAGGTGCAGGATGCAGAGAAAAGTGAGGCAGAAGTTGGCAGACACAAAGTGCGAACTGTCGAGGCAGTAAAATATGTGAACTAGACAAGGCCTCGTTCAAACTGCAGCTAAAAGTAGTTTCCACTTTAGGACAGGTGCTGTCGGATTCATTCGGAAATGACAGTGAAATACTTTCTCTTAATGCCTTAAGAAGCAGGTAGACCAGCCATAACAAACTATGTAAAGATACTATTTACAAGTGGTATTAGGTCTAGATTGGCTGTAGAGCAGAGGTTGTCCAAGTGGCAGGCAGGCCTCCCCTGGAGGCTTCAAACTGTTTCAGGGAAGGCTCAGTGAATAGAAGTGAAAATATATTACATTATCAGAAGGAGATCACATAGAATAGCCTAAATCTGTGTGATCTGGTCAAAGAGTGAGTCCAGAGACAAAGTAGTTTCAGGGGAATGTTATTGTTTTTCCAACTTTCCACCTTAGGGTGGACTTTTTTCATGTGGTTGGTGTTATATAGTCTTAACTTATGTCAACAGCAATATTAGACTATCTTGGGTCAATTGTTGAGTGTCTATGGCATCAAATCACATAATCATCATCCCATAGGCATCCAGGAATTGAGCAAAACTAAGCAAGTAAAGTAAGGCGGGCTGAGGGGCACCCTTTACCAGTCTTTGTCTGAGGGGAGGACAACAGTCTCAGGCTTTGAAAACCCCTGCTCTAGAGCTTTGCAGTAAACATCCACACTTACATTCTGTAGGTTGAACTGAAGCTGCTGCTTGTAGGGTTCAAACTCACTGGCCAGCTCGTATCCTTCATGGTAGAATGTAAACAAACCCTGCAGGAAGGCTAATAACTGGAGAACAGAGGGAAAATGTTAGCTTAGAGCTTGTGAGTGTAGAGTATAATGAAAGGAGTACAAAAGAATGATTGTCAGTCATCTGCTCAATCAATCAGAACAGCCGCTAGAGGAGAAAACCCCCCGAACTCTGCCTGTTGTTTGTTTTGCTGCCCTTGTTTACTTTACAACAAAGAGTTTCCCTCTCTGTCAGCCGGAAAAGATCTCCATGCAGGAAGTGCTGCTACAGCAACAGGAAGCGGGCTTGACTGATATCCATCATTAAAACATTTTAATCACCAGCCAAACAGTGTGTGTAATATGTGTTTTTCAGAGCCTTGCTTAGATGTCTTTCCCCGATTGTATCTGTATGCACACACGGTCATTGCCAGCTTGGCTGCAATTATGACTTGATGCTGACATCATTGTTTACATGCTGCACAAAACAGACTCGTCAGTCATACTTTCCTGTGATGAAATACTGTTTATTGGCGACAGTGGGTGCATTCTAATAACCCTACTCCAATACTATTTAGTATGCCAGAAAAAGATTTTATATGTCCCAATGCATAGTATGTCAAAAATACCAGGATGTCCTACTACATCGCATTCACATTTTTCAGAATGCAAGGCAGCCTGCTTGTCTGGCTATTCTGTCCAACAATCCTCAGCACAGCATGAGTATGTACAAGAGGGATGACGAAAGGCGCAATGTTATGACAAAGGAGTATGTCCCAATTTTATTCATACTGCTGCGGCCAGTACGCAGTTTGAATGGGCAGCTGCAGTCTGTACTAAAAGAAAGTATGCAATTTGGCCAGAGCTGTGAAGGCACAGCAGCGTAGAAAAATCTAAAGGAACTGTGACTTGACACAGGAGGCAAAAAGGCTGATACTGATAAAACCTCATGTATTACATGAAATGCGGATCCCAGCATTGAATGACACACTTCAATTGTGACAAAGTTGCATACATATAAACATTATCATTATGTACGTATATGAACTCACCGGCTCCACAAATTCAAACTTCTTTCTCTCCTGCACTTCTTGGATCTTGAAGACATACTGCAGCGATGCATCATAAAAAACCTGCCTGTCCTTACTTATATGTGAATCAGCCTACAACAAAACACATACAGTACTTTATGTTACCTAACACATGTGGGAGGCATTTGGTGTGTATTTTTAGGAATCAGACAGTTTACCTCGTGTAGCTGTGACTCCTTCTTTTTGGAGGAAAGGCTGAGGTGTTTCTCCAGAACAGAGTAGTACCTTTCTGTCTCCTTGTCAAACTGCTTCTTTCCCTCCTGAGGGAGACAGGGATGTGAGGAGGATATGAGTAATAGATAAAAGCAAACTTATGAATTTTTACATGTGCTATTAAAGGTATATAAATTCACTTTTTTTATCTAACAGAGAGAATGTCACACTTACACTACTTTTGTACATCTCCCATTCTCACGCCCTTTCCTTTTCACTAAGGGTTAAAATCTTTAAATACCAGTGCCAATACCCAAGTAGCAATACCAGTGACAAAATTATGTTTTATATATTTTACTTTGGGGAATATCAATGTGTACCTAATAAGTAAATAAATAAAAGCAACAAGACTAAGAGTCTATAGCCATGCTGATGGCTTTGTCAGGCACAGCAGTGCTTTGAGGGAAATGCTAACATAAGCGTGCTACCATGCTCACAATACCAATTCTAACAGGCTGATGTTTACCATCTTACTTTTGTGTCTTAGCATGCTAACATTTGCTAATTAATACTACACATAAAGTACAGCTGGGGCTGATGGGAATGTCAAGGACAAGACTAGTCTACAGTAACGCTAGTGGCTCTTTGAGGCTGTACTTACATTAGGAATAGCAGGGCATGCTAACATGCTAATTGTGAATATGCTAACATGCTGATGTTAAGCAGGTTTAACGGTTACCATGTTTACCACCAATTTAGTGTTTTAGCAAGCTAACATTGACCAACCAATACCACTAGCTAGCTGCTCTTTGAGGTCTTACTATACATTACATTACTCACTTTGACTATGCTAACTGAGCTGATGTATAGTGGGTATTCACCATGTTCATCATTATGTCTTTATTTTTGCATGTATCTGGTTAAAGGAATATATTGAATATCTGTAGCGAATTTTACAGAAATCCAGCCAATAGTTGTCAATATATTTCTGTCTGGTACAAAGTGACTGGCCAACTGACTGTCTGACCGGAACTGGCACAAATCTGCAGTAAGGTTGATGCAACCCTACCTGCAGAACGTCTCTGTGTCTTATCTTTCACAAGTGACAAAAGTTCAGATGGTTATAGGAATGAGCTAAACAGGCTTGAGGGACCAAAAACCTATGACGAAGTGCGGTGGGACCATTAATAATAAAAATCAAGAGACGCAGCCAAACTATTTAGGACATCAGCTATTTTCCATAACAGCTGCAGCTCCAAACTCCACATGTCCAACCACACTTTCCTGCTCAGCAACATCAGTGTGAGGATGTGCTGCTCACACACTCCTGCTACATTCTGCAGGCTGAAGAGTCGCTTCGATCAACACTGAGAAATGAGCTGTGATTTCACTTTCAGGGTTAGTCATATCTGTGGCCAGTTCAGTTTTTGTTTTTTAAACCCTGCAGGTTTCTGCATAATATTGCTAACTCTGCTGTTATTTCAGTCTCAGAGAGAGCGACAAGAACAAAAATTAGATAAACGGAATAAGAAGACTTGAGACAGCTGCTGAAACCAGACACCAGGCTTGCTTTGTGTTTATACTGCTTCACTGAGACACTATCTCGCTGTCTGTAACACGCTCCCTGTCTTCCCTCCCAGCGTCCGTTCCCATGACCTTGTTACTGACACTGGACTGTGATCCATCGTTTATCTGAACAAACTGGATTCTCCGACCGCTGAATGAGAGACTGACTGGGACCAGACCAGAGCAGAATGATCTGTCTGATCACCACCCACAGTGTTAGATAACTAATATACGCAACATGTTTAATGAACTGAACTTTGGGGTTTGAATATCACCTGTGGTTCTATTATGTAAAAAAGCCATGGCAAGCTTTATGGGTTCAGTTACTTTGTGTTAATAATCTACTCAGCTTTCAAGTTACCCTCTGATTCTAACAGCTGCAGATATACCTTAACAGCTCCAATCTGCTCCTTACGAAACCTTTCAAGCGGTGAGATCAACACATCATCAGCGTTCTGGATCTGAGAGAGAAACAGAGGAACAGGGAAAATACAGCAGTCACCTCAGCGAGTCGTAACAGTAAACACCAGGCAACAGCAACAAAAAGACAACAGCCTGTTTCATGGGGGCTGCAGTGCTGACTTCAGTGTTTCACTTGTTTTGTCAAATCTGATGGCTCAATAGATGCTTATCTTTTGTTTTTCTGACATTTGTGTCTTAAAAAGACACATTTCATGACATTTCTGTTTAATTTAGAAGAAAAAGGGCAAATTCAATCATACAACTAGATTCTCTAGTTGAACATATTTCAAGTGAAGACATCAATATGATGTTAATCTATCACCAACTTCACAAATTTGTTGTGATTTACTTAATCTATTTGATGTTGATTTGATATTGATAGAGTATTGGAAGCTTAGATTAGCAAACCATGGTGCTTTGAGCTGTTAACATCAGAGTGATAACATGCCCACAACAAAAATGCTAACATGCTGATGCAAAGCAGGTATAATGTCAGAGGACCACCAAACTCATTAGAGTACATCCTCGGGGCCAAACTGTCTGCCAACCTACAGACTGAACAGCAGCTTATCTGCCACTGCTACAATACAGTATCTATGAGAAAGTCATGGCCCTCTTTAGTCATGAGTCTATTATTGTCTTGCTTTCTTCATTCTAGTTGATTTAGGCATTAGATTTTAAATAGCTTCCCAGCCTCGCGCCATGGCTTTACTTTCACCTAACTTCAGTTTAGTTCCACTCCAGTACCCAAAGAAAGGGTCTGCTGTCGTTGTACGTTCACTTTTTTCCACCATATATTACAACATGAAGGATGAAACTGAACACTAAGGGACCGAAGGGCGTTGCTGAATTGCAATAATAGTCCTTTCAGGTTCAACAGGTAGGTATTTCCCATTTGCTGGAATGGCCTTTTAACTCAGTAATGACAGTATTAGTAGAGGTTCAGACCTATGAGCAGCATTTGAGTGGAAATGCAGACAAATAAAATACAGACACAAACACAGACAGAAAGAAGGAAAGCAGGAAAGAAAGAAAGAGAGAGAGAGAGAGAGAGAGAGAGAGCAGACCAACCAACACACACACACACACACACACACACACAGGACCCTTTTATAGACTTTCCCAGGCAGTCCGGGCTCTGCTCACAGTCTCACAGGGGAAATGGCAGAATAGGTTCCACATGGTTCCTTTGTAACCACACCATGGAGACAGCCACAAACACACACACACATACACACACACACACACACACACACACACACACACACACACACACACACACACAGAGCTATGCATAAGGTACAGCAGTGTACTATGCATACACACTGCACATGAGTGGAGGTTTTCCTACGCACAGACTGTGCCAGACTCCAATCACTCCCACACAAAGGCCTCTGGTTGATGGAGAGTCTGTAAGGTAATAACGTCATTGCCGCAGGTACAACGTTTTCACAACAAATGAGTGAATCAGACTTGTGGGAAAACCCACTATGGGACAAAGTCAGCGTGGTACATCAAGTGAAGGTGCCTGACAAAGACTGAAATGCTGGTGACGTCGGCAAAGTTACACTTGAAGTGAAACAGAAATAGTGAGAGTGCAACACAGTTGGTGGACAGCCAAAGGAAACAATTGGACTATGGTGATAACAATTTGGTTTAGAAGGAGCTTTTGGTCTAATGGTCTATGAACGTCCCTAGAGGTCTGTGGTTTTACTTCCTGACTGAATAAACATGTATGAATCACAACCATTTTATTTAGGTCAATTATGCAGAGAAGGATATTGTACAGAGACAGAGACAAAGAAAGACAAAGAGTCTAAGAATAAATTTTGTTAATATCAATTCAAAGTTGTTGTTAGAGCAATTGTTTAAAAATAGACAGAAATATCTAAAGAAAAAGTCTAGACTCCTTAATCTCATTAATTAATTAGAACAAAGCTTTAAAGTGCTGATCACACTGTACCTACCACTGTATACTGTCAGCCCTTCGTTTTAACTTCACTTAAAATGGCCACTTTTCAAGGTCAATGCCCTCAATTTTGAAACTTTCCTTAGTTTATTTTAAAAAGCGTACAGCATAAAAGACCTGCATTTTGGTTTTCTCTCTCCATCTCCCTCTCTCTCTCACACACACACACACACACACACACACACACACACACACACACACACACACACACACAGGTTTTCTTACCAGCCGTTTTCTCTCCTCTTCCATGGTGTTCAAGAGCTGAGAGAACTCCTTCAAGGACTGAGCTGCAAAAGAAAATATACACCTCAAATGTGGATCATATTTTACATGCTTGGCTGTATCAGCTACCAGTTTTCTGGATCATCAGGGGCAGTTTCATCTCACCTATATTGATCTCATCGTCAGTCTCAGCATCTCCAATACATTCAAGCTGGAACTCCTGTAGAGACTGAGAGAACCGTTGAACAGCGAGAGAAAGACCTGAGAAAGACAGAGACGTTCAATTAATTACTTAAAAGCAGGTACAACAATATAATTACTGCCATTCCTTTGTTATGACTAATAAAACTTCACTAGTATTTCATGTTATGCACAAGAATGCTCTTGGCACGAGTTTGCATGCTGCCATTACCAGATTATTATTATTATTATTATCAAACACAATGTAAAGCTCACATTCCCCTACAGGCTACAAGCAGCATCACTTATTCCTTTCTTCAATAAACTATTACTGTATTTTTCTACGAGACTCTCACATAGAATCCACTGCCAAGACATGAGGTGTCAAAGTCTAATGTAAACAAACTGCCGCACCCTGCAAGAAACTCTACTTGACAGCCTTAGTCTCGGAGAACTTTATTTATGTGTCCAAACACCACAGCAATAACAGAGTTTAATACCACCTTTTATTCTCTAATGAATGAACACTTGGCACCACAAGGCTGCATTCTCCCTCTCACACAGACACATGTCTACACTGGTCTACAAGCCAGCTGCTGTAAGGCACTACTTCAGCTGCACCACTGCATTATACACTGGTGATAAAACCATTTAAATGTCATTTAGTGGCAGTTAAATACCTGATTACTGCCTGGAGATCAGGAAAAAAAAACTGTGGTCAGGTTCAGTGCAAGAAAGACAAAGGCACAGCTTTATCCCTTGCTGGAAACTAAAATTAGGTTGTATCCATATTGTTATTTAAAAGATGTGGACTGAATTGACTGACAGGATTTTTCATAAAAGTATTTAACACTTCAGAACAACTAGATCAGTATTTTTAATAGGGCTGCACAATATATCGTTTTAGCATCGCCATCACAATGTGCTCTTGCGCAATAGTCACATCGCAGAAGAATGCAATGTCAAGCAAGTCAAATAAGCTCAACCACCTCAACTTTTTTGCTGATGTATACAAAAGGAAAACTCGCACGGTTCTCATTTTTCATGACTTTTCTACAAGAGAAATCTGTCTGACGTAACATAATTTAATCCGATTTAATGGTTCTTGGATAAACAAAATTTGTTGCTAATGAGCGACAAGCAGGCTCTGCATGCACAGAGACCAGCAATAACAAGGTTGTTTAGCTGTAGTCAACATCTTGAAAACCACCTAAACTGTGGATTTGGTTGCAAAAAAAAAACTTTTGTAAAGCACTCAGGGGGTTGACGTATAGCTGCTCTTTAATTTATTTTTATCATTTAGTTAAAAAATATGTTGACTGCATTAATGCTCAAGAAAGGATAGTTTGCACTCAAAAAGCCTTCAGACCTACAAAGTCACCCAATAATTCTAGGATGCTTATTTCATTTCAAATAGAGCATTTGAAGTCATCCGGTGAAAATTCCTGTATTTTTCTTATCGCAATATAAATCGCAGAAAAGAAAAACATTGGGCACAATGGGAAGACATTTCTGTTTGAATATGTTAATGTACAGCAGTCAATATACTGTACCCTGCATGTTTAGTGCTGTAGTAATGTAAAGAGTTGCTGCCTGCAGAACTTTAATGTGTTTCACTTATTTTTATGATGTTTTTCAGTCTAAAAAATCCCATTTGCTGCACTGAAAATACTGTTGTGAGATGAAGACACTGTGAAAAGGCCTTTCACTTGGAAAAGAACATCCAGTCAGCAAAGGTAACATATGCTAGCACACCACGAATGAGCAACAGCATCGAATCGTGATAATATCGTTTCGGGGCGTCTCTGGTGACTGATATGCCATTGTTCTGTAAACAGTCTGACCTGTTAATGTAAACAATGCTGTGATTATGTTGTTTCACCCCCCGTGTGGTCACAGAACAGTCGAACACACTCAGCATCGTCTGGGTGTGCACGGCAGGCAGCAACACTGGTCACACTGATTACCTCAACCAGCAGGTGAGCCAATGAAATCACAGGCAGCCACAAAGCGTAGTGTGTCTGACGTGATCAAAAGAAATTCCAAACAAATGGGAGGTATCTGCTTTATGAGAGTAGTCATCAGCTGACAGCCACCATCAAACTGTGCCGCAGTTAAACACCAACATAAATGCATTTTATGAACGATTTCATGCCAACCAAATGTTTAACCCTTTATGTCATAAGAAGGTACCAAAGAAACTCTTCCTTCGTGGTAAGTTATTAAACGTCATATTATGCATTCATTACAACATAATGAGACTTTTTAGAACGGCAAGAAAAAGCAAATCAGAATATTAATATATGGTGATTACAACGCTATTACAACCTTATTTCATTAATTCAGGATTATGCTACATGCAGTAATAATAATAACAGTCTTAAAAGTACATTTTGACACAAGGACCCTTCTTAAGACGTGGATCAGGTCATAAAGCAGCAACCTCTAAAAGGACATTATCATGTCAGCTGACAATATAGCTGAAACTATAGCCAAGTCAGCAATTTTTATGATTGATTAATCATTCAAGTTAATTATAAATGCTTTTGGCCTGCATTTGCTGTTTCGTGCCTCTCAAAATGTAAGGATTTGCCACTTTTGTCTGTTTTAGATTATTGTAAATTGACTATTTCTGGGGTTTGTACAATTAGTCAGACAAAAAAAGCAATCTTAAGAGATCACCTTGGCCTCTGACAAACAGCGTGCTTTCTGAATCTTTTTGGATTACTCATAACAATAACCTACAGATTAACTGATAATGAAAAAAAATGGCAGATGCAGCCCTAGTGGATACTAGCACAAACAAGTTTGCCCCCTTGGTCATCCAGGCTTGCTTTGTGTTATACCAGAACCATTATGTGACAGATACCTCAGTGTAAAGCTGACTCAAATCACAATGGTTTTAATGAAATATCTCAGTTTTGATTGAAAATGGACACATTTGATCTTGTGTCCTCTTTATGTTACACCTACTTAAGTGGCATCAGGAGGACATGCAATTATTAATAGCAAATGAAATTTATTACACTGATCTCTAGCTTACACAACTCTTCTCTATAGTGCAAAATAACATCTAAAAGCAGACTAAGACATGGTAAGATAAGTGATGTCACGTTATCTACACTATAGCCCATACAAAAACTTCCATTCAGTGTAATAAACTATTGACTAGTCTAATCTGGGCTAAACAACGCTGGCTCTGTTTGAGTTGATGGCCTTGCTTTGTACCTCTGTTATCAGGCAGCAGACTGTGCAAGCGGTGCAGTAATTTACGCACTTTCCCCCCCGAAAATAAGTTATTAATTAGCGTGTGCTTACTTTTGAGTGCAGATACGAGCATGTTTCCATCTTTGATCAGGTCTTTTATAAACCTGTTGGTGCGCTCCAGCTCTATCTCATGACACTGCAGCCGGTCTCTGAACTCTGGACTGTCCAGGAAAGAGTCGCTAAACTCCAACGTCGGCAGACCCATCGATAAATGTATGAGCACGGATAGTTTATAAGACGGCTAAAAGTAAGACGCGTTCTCTGCCCGCTCGGTGAGATTTACAAGAGAAAACGCTGTTTCAGTGTGCTCGGAGAAAACTGGTCAGAAGTGTACTACAGTTCGCTTTTTTTCATGCCTTTCTCAGATTCTTCCCTCAGAACTTCCGGACACTAAAAGACAGCAGAGCCTCTGACAGAGAGAGTTAGACTAGGCCACACGACGAACATTACGCTGCTTCTCTGACTTTTTAGAAATAATAACGTCTCTTTGACTTCTTGAAAACTTCTTGATCGATACAGAAAACACGGAAAGAGAGAAACTGAGCTTAATTTTGGACGAATCAAAGAGTACTGCAAAAACTTGTGTTGCTAACTCTGTCTACGTACGGCTCTCAGTGAAGGCTTGTTACTATGGGAACGGGAGACTCCTGCTGGCGCTGCTGTAATCAGTGCAAAGTTTGCCAAAGTCTTCATAATAATAATAATAATAATCGGGACTGCATCAACAACAGTATTAATAAAAAATAATTAAATAATAATCCATTATTAAAATATTATGTTTTTAGAAATTTTTATGTCTTTCACATGAACGCCTATTTTAATATGTTTAACTTCCCTCAGGCAGGCTCAGTGTCATTAGGAAAAGGATACATCGTCTAAAGAACATTCTCAAGAGCTGTGGACATGCAGCTATCATGTGATTACTCACATGCCAATGCCAAGCAATGCCAAACTGTAAATACACACTGAAGGCACTTTATCTAAGCTGCAGGACCAGTTAGTTTTAATGCTATTATTGTCTTTCATTTGAATGTATGTTTTAGTGCTTCATTTTATTATTTTATGCAATCCTTTTATTGCTAATTTATTTATATATGCTATTTTAAAGCTGCTAAGATCAACAGTTTGATCTAAATCTAATCTATCTTTGTGTTGCAGTAATAGTTGAAGTTGAAGATATTAAAGCAATTAAGTTGAGGCACTGTAAGGTCTCAAAGAGCTTGAAAGTGCAAGTGTCAGTGCCAGCTAAAGTGAAAGTGCTTATTATTGGAAATGAAGAGTCAGTCGCAGTGTAAGAGCTAAAAATAAGTGAAATGTCAGTTGAATGCTGGGTGATATAAGAAGGATGGGTCAGATGAAAAGCAAATCCAAGTCAGTCAGTTCATCTGTGAGTTAAGAGTACAACTTAAGTTTAAGCACTACAAAAACAATTGAGGCATCCCATGAATTATGACTCCTGATTCATTTCTATGTTAAGAACGTTTTATAAAAAGTGTAAAAGATATCAAAGTTTTGAATAGAAGCACACATCACCCAAATAAGCTGAACGTGTTGAACTTTGAATTAGGTTTCTTTTACAAAGTGTAAGTTGGAGAGGGTGGAAAAAATGTCCAGGACAATTATAAAAAATAATAAAGATATAAATAGGAGTTCAACAGTGTGTTTCCCTGAAGTGATAACAGTATACACTTTTATATAAATAACTGTCAAAGAAAACATGTAGCTCTCAAATGCAAGTTTAGATTGTTATGTAGGTTTTATTTATCTTGTGCAGTGAGATTCAGTGGATACCTAAATTGTGAATGAGATTTGCTTTTCAAAAGATATCTTGTTATGATCTGTAGCTGCACACAGTAGGACATAATTCAAATTATTCAAATCACATACTCTGGTGAAAATATGCACACACAAATCTAAAAGTATGTGACAAATGAGCTTTAAATGATTTCTTACAGTACCTCCTACAGCCCACAACTAACATAAACTACAGTATTATCAATAGAAGACTTGCACATTTGCAGGAGCGTTCTCCACACACAGAATACCTTAAAACGCATTAAGTGAAATGATTTATGTACAAGTATAAGGTTCCCTACTGAAAGATTACAGGCCAAAACAGGCCCTGTAATGTGAAAAAATACAGTTGGGATTTATGCCCGCTGAGCACTGGGAGGCACAGTGCATTGCTGAGTGCAGGCCAAATGCTCTGGGGCAACCACTGAAAAGACAACATGGTTTCTTCTCTTCTCTTCTTTTTCTTTTTTTGACTAAACACAACTTCAGTCAAATGTATTTTATCATCATTATGCTTAGCTTAGTCATGCAATCTCACTGATGCAAGACATAACAGTTTAGACTTCTGGAAAAGGCCCAGGTCAACAGTTCTAGCTTTCTGAAGTTTCTTAGTGCCATATTTCAGAAGCTTTCATACTGGACCATGTCCCCCTTTAAAACCCTCTGTCCAAGCAGCCACTGTAAAGTTTCCACTCTCTGTTGGTGGCCCATCTGCTGTATTGTCTCAGTTGGTAACTACTATGTCTGTCACTCACTGGAGAATAATGGAACACCATGACTACTGCAGTAAACAAGCTTTAAGTAGCACTGTACACAGCCATAGAAATGAAGACAGTATAGGGGAAAACTGCAGAAATACCACAACCTGTGTTTTTTTCTACATGTAAGGTAAGCAACACAGTAAATAATATCTAATCTAAAAATATATATAATTTCTGCATGTCTGTTTTAAGGCTTTATACTGGTTGTTATTTGAAATGCATACACATTGTGATGTTTTAATCCATGCTGTGCAACTGTTTCTACGTTCTACTGCTAGTGAATACACTAAACCTCTGGTCACTTTTACAGCATTTGTTGTGCCAGAAACCAAAAGAGACAGAGCTGCTGGTGATGCCAGTGAGCCAACGGCACAGTCAGGAGGCAACAGACAAAATGTTCATCAGAAATGCCAACCTACGACACCCCAGTCGCTACCATGAATTATTTCTGCCTAGTCGACCCTACAGAGGGGAACCACCGACGGTGGCAGGTGAAGGTTTGCTGCTCGTCTGTCCCATCAGATAGTGTTCCTGATGTTCTGAGATTAATCACTGTCAACTTTAATGGAGCCAAATGATTCTGTTTTCATGAAATGTAGTTGTTTAATTATTATGTGCTTCATTACTATTATTTTTTTTGCTGCATTTAAAGTAAAGGGACCTAAATGAGCCAAGATTGACCCCACTGACCCTTATGATTTAAACAAGGATAGCCTTTTGACTTGGGGAGATTTCCAACTCAAACACTATAATAAAAAATTCCTGATTGGAAGTATTTGAGCAAATGTTAAGTGGAGTTAGTCCAGCTGTGATGTGTTAACTGGAATTACTCCAAAGTAGTTTGCTAAAACAGAAAGTATTATGAGAACAACAATAACTAAATTTCACAAAACAAATTTTAACCATGCACAGTACTTTGAGTATATACATTTAAAACTAGAAAACTGTTGTTTTCCTATAATCAGGCACTTTTAAAGTCCACTTTTTACCCTCTCTGTTATGGTCCTGACTTCCCCAGGATTTCTCCTCTACCCAGACACTCCTGCTAAAATGGAGACCACATCGCGAGAAGCTTTCTGCTTTAGACCCGTCCCACAACAAGACAGAGGCAAAGGTCTGCAGTTTTTCTCAACCTTGGGAGTAAACTCAATGTTTCAGTGTGTTGCGGTTCGTAGATATGTGTTTTTATTTGTTTTGGAAAAGGTTTGGGCTGTGTGTGTGCGAGGGTGGAGATTCGGAAAGTGATTTATGAGTTTTTTATTTCATTTAAAGGTTTAATCATTCATACTGCAATATAATTACTACACTGTCATTACACTGAAATAATAATAATACAGTAATAAAGTAAAACTTCCAAATACGGTTAAATGTAAAGATGCTGTTTCTTGTACATCAAGAAGGAAAGCTAATTTGGATTTTACTGACCCAAATACATTTTAATTATTTGCTAAACATTGCTAGCAAAGTACTGGCTGGAACTAATGATGCTGTAGCAGCTGTCTTATTATAAAGTCTGAAATTGTTATTAAGATGTGGCATTTAGGTCATAATTACAATGTATAATATAATATAATAATAATAATAATAATATTAATTCAAAACAGAACATTTATCTGAATAAAAAATACTAGTATCACAGTGTAAGATGGTTCTCTCATATTTAGGACAGCAGACACTTATAGAACATATTTTATGTTTTAGACAGAAAGAAGGGATGTTTCATGGCATACTTCATTACTGTGTATGAAATTAAACCCATCCAAATGTTATGATTACCTCTCAGGAGACCGTGTCACCCAGAACACAAAGCAGGAGTCCCATCGTTCTCCTCCCACGTCCTCGAGACAAACAGGAGGAGGAAACAGCAGCAGGGACGGGGGACCAGGGGAGGACGAACAAGGAGGAATCTGTCGTCAGACGACTGCAGTGAAAAATGAACAAGATACAACAGGGATGCAGTCTCAGTATCAGAAGGATTTCCCTCCTCCGTCCTCCTGCCGCAGGAGGCGAACACCTGCCTTCCCACAACCGGACAACATCGGCATCAACCCCGCCTTCAGGTGAGAGCGAGTTTGTCAGTATCACAGCCTGCAATAGCTTAATGTAGAGAGCAGCTCACCAGTGTCTGTGTGTGTTTTGGCTCACAGGATCGATTTTAGCACGGTCCAAAAAGAGACTTACCCGGGCTGGCCCATCAGAAACCCCAGGTGTGCTGGCAGGCTGGCAGCGGCCTCGTCCGGACAACCAAACCTGGCTTCTGAGTGATAGCCTTCATCAGCTTACACGTGCACACAAGTGTTTGTCACACCTCCTCACCTCAGACTGCTGTGACATGCCACCCTGCTCATCTTTGGCTGTAAAAAATGAAAATTTAATTACAGTATAAATTAATAAATGTCAAAATAATGTCTCTTACTTTTACAGACTTTCTAATTCAATCACATCAACCCTTGCTTGTTATAATCATACAACACAGTGCACAGTAATAAACATTTTATAAACCAGTGAACAACAGTGTGTCTTAACTCAAAAATAGCACTATAATGTGGGATTTTTAAACTTACTCTTCAGTTCATACATAACTGGAGTGAAATAGATGTTAAGAGGTTTGAAACAGAAATGTTGATGAGTTCTCCATCCTTAATCGCATCCAGTAGTGTGTGTGTGTGTGTGTGTGTGTGTGTGTGTGTGTGTGTGTGTGTGTGTGTGTGTCTGGAAATATAGGCCTATAATTTATTAAAGTCTGGAATTTAAGTGTAATCACATTATTTAATTGCTTTTGTTTACTGTTACATCAGTGTCACAAAGGGTTCAGTTCTTTCCAGCACAAACACTTTTGTTTATCCAGGTACCAGGTGATGAATTTCTTAGCAGCAGGTCAGTCTGATGAGCTGATGGACTGATGACGTGTAGCCTACACACACCAGGCCATGAGGTGCATGGAGTCACTGGATGAGACCTAATGAACTAATGATAACACCAGATGTTTAACGTTTCAAAATGATGACTTCAGACATACTTGCGGTCAGTTTGACAGAAAACAATCCACCCAGTGACTCATAAGTGAAACAAGTTCACATGAGCAGAGGGCTGTTTCACAAAACTAAGATAGCGGATAAAGCTGGGTTTTTTCCAGATACACCTGGCTGAATTTAGCCTTGCCTCGATTTCACGAAAGCAGTAGCACATAAGTTACCATGGTGATTTATTCTGTGCAGCTAGCCTGCTGTACATCAGGAGACCGTAGGAGGGCAACAACCCAGCAGCAGGACCGCTATCTCCGCCTTTGTGCAAGAAGGAGCAGGAGGAGCACTGCCAGAGCCCTGCAAAATGACCTCCAGCAGGCCACAAATGTGCATGTGTCTGCTCAAACGGTCAGAAACAGACTCCATGAGGGTGGTATGAGGGCCCGACGTCCACAGGTGGGGGTTGTACTTACAGCCCAACACCGTGCAGGACGTTTGGCATTTGCCAGAGAACACCAAGATTGGCAAATTCGCCACTGGCGCCCTGTGCTCTTCACAGAAGAAAGCAGGTTCACACTGAGCACATGTGACAGACGTGACAGAGTCTGGAGACGCCGTGGAGAACGTTCTGCTGCCTGCAACATCCTCCAGCATGACCCGTTTGGCGGTGGGTCAGTAATGGTGTGGGGTGGCATTTCTTTGGGGGGCCGCACAGCCCTCCATGTGCTCGCCAGCGGTAGCCTGACTGCCATTAGGTACTGAGATGAGATCCTCAGACCCCTTGTGAGACCATATGCTGGTGCGGTTGGCCCTGGGTTCCTCCTAATGCAAGACAATGCTAGACCTCATGTGGCTGGAGTGTGTCAGCAGTTCCTGCAAGAGGAAGGCATTGATGCTATGGACTGGCCCGCCTGTTCCCCAGACCTGAATCCAATTGAGCACATCTGGGACATCATGTCTCGCTCCATCCACCAACGCCACGTTGCACCACAGACTGTCCAGGAGTTGGCGGATGCTTTAGTCCAGGTCTGGGAGGAGATCCCTCAGGAGACCATCTGCCACCTCATCAGGAGCATGCCCAGGCATTGTAGGGAGGTCATACAGGCACGTGGAGGCCACAAACACTACTGAGCCTCATTTTGACTTTTAAGGACATTACATCAAAGTTGGATCGGCCTGTAGTGTGGTTTTCCACTTTGATTTTGAGTGTGTCTCCAAATCCAGACCTCCATGGGTTGATAAATTTGATTTCCATTGATAATTTTTGTGTGATTTTGTTGTCAGCACATTCAACTATGTAAAGAAAGGAGTATTTAATGAGATTATTTCATTCATTCAGATCTAGGATGTGTTATTTTAGTGTTCCCTTTATTTTTTTGAGCTGTGTGTGTGTGTGTGTATGTATATGTGTGTGTGTGTGTGTGTGTGTGTGTGTATATATATATATATATATATATATATATATATATATATATATATATATATATATATATATATATATATATTATTTGTGCCCTGTTCATTCATGAAACAAAAGGGAAACGACACAACAATGTGTTTTGATCTTTTTTCTCCCTGGGATCACTCATCTGCTGCGAGCTTGGGAAAGAAAACAATGATTAATACATTGTATTACAGTCATGCTTACAGTGTGCATTGAAATGATAATTTCTCTTTCTAGTTTCTGGATTTCCAAGTCAATTTACTCAGAATCTATTTTTATCTCCATGTCTAGGTCCAAGTCCTGCTGAGGTTTTTGGTGATATTTTATTTTGTTAATTTTTTCAAGTATGTGCAGTTCAGACATCTGACAGTTTGTAAAACACATATCAATTAGCACAGCAGGAACTGTTCACCTGTATCCACAGGTGAACAGTCCTTCATGTTATACTTACTACATTGCCAGACGGTCTGTCATACTGTAGGACTACAGCCTCAGGGTCAAGTTACAAATATGATACAGTATTTTCTATGAGCACCATATATTGTTCTATGTTAAATAACTGAAAATGCTTTTAAAATGCTTTAAGAAAGGAAGGAAGAAAACATGCAATGCAATCATAGCAGAAACAAATGTACATTGACCAAAAAAGTAATTTAAGCTAAAAGAACAAGCTACTGATTACTGCATTATATTTTTATATTTTAAATTGTCACCTGCCAGCTGTATTTTGTGTTTCCTTTTATATAAATAAAGACATTTCCATCATAAATTGTTTCAGAATATTTCTCCAGAAGTCAAGAAATTTAAGTGTTTAATGCTCAAAAAACTGTACATAAAATAGAAAAATAAAATAAATCAAAATAATCCTTTTTCACCAAGCAAAATGCAATAACAATACAGGATAATATTAGTAACTTATGGAGAGGGAACAAGAAATGTGACACACTTTTGTTAAAATAATTCTTGTTTTATTTGGTTTTCTTCACTCTGGTGAGTCAATGTTGCACAAGCCCTCTTCATCAGTAAAAACATGTATGACATAGAGAGGTTATGTTGTTAAAATGCCCACCTTAGAAAATCTTGTTTCAACACTGTATTATTCCTGCCTCAAATAAAAAACAGAAACAGATTGGTCTTACTTACAAAGGGAGAACATGTGTAACACGTTCAATCTGATTTAAATGAACTTTACAGGTGTATCATAAAAATAATGGCATTTTGTCCATTTGATTCAGCCTTTAAAGCTTGTGTGATTTACTGATTTTAAGGCTTCACTTGGCTGGACAACATCAATTTGTAAAACAAAAAAACTAAATTTTTACATGGCGAATTAGTGGAGATTTACTGCCTTTTTTATACTACAAAAGCCTGTATAAACCAGATGTTCCTGAGAAATACTGACTCCAGGACGACATTACCACACAGTAGAATCTGATGAACATCAACCAGGAAATTTCCTTCCCAATCCGATAGGCTACCATGATACCTTAAGAAGGGCATCTGCAATTTTAATTGTTTATTCTTTCCAGTTCCCTGACAGCAAACCCCCAGCAGTCACACTCTCCTTCACTGGCCACTTGGCTTAAACTGGCTCAAATTGAGGCAGGCAGCTGGACTGTGGATCTGTGACGGACTTCCTTTGAATGGGTGAGATCAGATCTCCAGTTTCATCTCCTGTCCCGGTGCCTGCTCCTGTCTCCGTGTCTGCGGTCCTCCCGATCTCTGCCTCTGTCCCGGTCATCTCTCCTCCCTCGGCTGCCCCACTCGGGCTCTCTGTGTCGGTCCCGGTCCCGAACCTCCCTGTCTCTCGTCCCCGGTCTGTCCCACTCCTTCCCTCCACCTCCCCATTCCTGCACCGGACCGACTCCGAGGTTAATGGGTTTACGGAAAGGCCGGTCTCTGCCGCCAAACCGCAGCTGTCCGGACTCTTTCTTCCCCCCCTGCCCGCCGCCGAGCCGCCGGGGGACCCACCCTTTGAGGGTCCTCTCCTGTTCAAAATCCACAAACAGTTCGTGCTGGTCTACCACCAGCTTGTTGGCGTCTCTGCGGGCCCGGACAACAGATCTCTCCTCCTTGTACTCAATGAAGGCGTATCCTTTGGAGAAGCCTGTGACAATGTCCCGGACCAGCCGGAGCCGCTGGATGTCTCCGTACTTGGAGAATACTTGGTGCAGTTTGTCCTCTGTTGTCTGGGGGTTCAGACGAGCCACAAACAGAGTGAGCAGTGGGTCTCCAACAACGCCTTTGTTGGGTTTATAGCGGGCACCCATAGCCCTCCACACCGCCCGGTCATGGGGGTCCACGTCCGTGCCGTCGATACTGCCAGCTTTCAGCGGGTCGTACACCTTCGCTATCGGACTCCAGTCCACCATTTTTACTCAAAATTAAGCTACAAAGTTCTCCTTCTTCAATATACGAGTATTGGCGACAGTTATCTCGCAACATGAATCGATACTTATCTACAAAACACCACGTCACGCTGAATGTTTTACTACTAAAAATTACACCAGCTGAAGGTAGCCAGCAGTCCCGCGTGCATCAAGAAAAACACTCCGTACTGAAACGAGTACTAGCCTATGGCGTTTTAAAGGTTCCTACTTACTCGCTAGACCGGTTGAGACCTTATATAAACAGTCCATGGTTGAGACCAAAGAGGGGGTTCGTACTGAAGATACTTAATGCCTGTACTCACTTGAAGATCTTTCTGTGATATCCTTATTTTTCTCTTTTTTGCCGTTTTGTTATGTTATTATACCCCCTAGCTATGTACACTGAACAAAAATATAAACACAACATTTTTGTATCTGCCCCCATTCATCATAAGCTGAACTCAAATATCTAAGACTTTTCTCTATGTACACAAATGGCCTATTTCTCTCAATTTTGTTTCCAAATCCGTCAAAATCACAGGTGTGGCATGTCAAATGATGATCAGACAGCATGGGTATTGCACAGGTGTGTCTTAGGCTGGCCAGTCTATGGCACACCTGTGCAATACCCATGCTGTCTGCTCAGCATCTTGATATGCCATATGTGAGGTGGATAGATTATCTCGGCAAAGAAGATACTCTCTAACACAGATTTTTACAGATTTGGGAACAATATTTCAGAGAAAAAGGCCTTTAGTGTACATAGAGAAAGTCTTAGATCTTTGAGTTCAGCTCATGATGAATGGGGGCAAAAACAAAAGTGTGTCTGTATCCCTTATGTCTTGTATTTGACACAGTTAAACATAATAACTAGAGAGTAATCTGATTACTGTTTCATACAATTAAACCTGATAACTAGAGTAATCTGATTACTGCGTTTAACACAATGTAACTTGATAACTACAGAGTAATCTGATTACTGTGTTTCATATAGTTTAAACCTGATAACTAGAGATCTCTGAACTCTCTATAACTAATAACTAATGTACTACTCATTAATATTAGTTGGCCCACCTCCCACTTTGAAAACCTCTGGCAAAGACTAATAGATGGTAAGTGCTGTGCAATGCCAGTTGTGGTAATGAAAATGACAAAGACTTGTTAACGTTTGTATTTAAATCCAGAAAAATACGGGATAATTGTGACCCAGGGACAAATCCAGAAGAGGGCAATGAAAATACTGGCCTAACACTTTTGAATTACTCCACATTTCAGACCTCTGATTCTTAAATCTGGAACCAGGATATTTATCTTGGGCCAGAAGCTGTTAAAAATGTCCAAATAATATACATTTCTTTTCTGTATGTGAACACTCATGACAACACTTTACAAAAACATTATTTAATAAAACAATGAAAAACACATCTGTTCTGCTGGTCCTGATTGAGTCAATTATTACAAAATCATAAAGATGCTGTCAATTCACTGCTATTTACAGTTATGTTTGTAGCTGATATAAAACTGCTTTGGAAAGGTGAACAACATTTTTCTTTTTCAAAATGTCAGGTCTTTTGAGCAGATGTCTAATCTGCAGTTGTTTCAACAGCATGGATTCGATATTCTGCTTTCTGCTCTTCAGCTCCCTGATCCATCAGTGTCCGACTGCCATTACATGTCCTCAACACTCCATTTATAGGCTGCGTCCTGGACGGCTTTTTTATCTGCCATCCGTGTGTAGCGTTTCTGTTCAAAACCATTTGACCTGCGAGACACACAAAAAAATTAAAGTCAACTATTAATTCTGCAATCACACCTTCAACTCCATCTTTGAGTTGAATACTGAACCCTATCAGCTTCAATCTAATGTAGACGCCAATATTGTTTTTATTGTTATTACTGTACCCAAATTTGACATTTAAGACATTAGTATAAAGTACAGATGAGCTTAGGGCTGCGCGATGTGGCCAAAAATGTTACGATAAAAATAAATATAATCATTCGATATCAGTAATTATCACAATAAATTTCTTCCTGAGTGAAAGTTGAAGAAACCAAAAGGTTAATTGTGGTTTTAAACTATTCTTTATGGTGAGAACATGACAAACACTCTCTTAACATATCAAGTAGAACATTCAAAACAATTATGGTGAAATCTTCTTGCAAGAAATAAAATAAGTAAAATCTTTTCCTCAACAAAATAAATATCTTAATAAAAAAATTAAGTGCTAATTCATTTGTGATTTAAATTAATTAATTCAAACATTTATTGAACAATTGTTAAATTGTTATTGAGGAAAATTATATTGCAATAATTGTCATTATCGTTTTATGGCCCAGCCCTAGATGAGCTATATGTATTAAAAAGGACATACAGTCACATCGCAGTACAAATGCATCCCATTTAGTCACCCTTTCCCACGCACTGTACCTGTCAACTCCATCCCATCGATAGCCTGGTTGCATATTGAAGCGGTTTGGAGGTGGTGCTGGGCCTTTATATCGAGGTTTGTCTGCAAAACAAAAATACATTGGTTTACATATGACATATTTTTAAATATGGTATCAGTCAACTCAGGGAACAAGGTCCACATATGTAAGTCTTAAAACCTTGTGTGTTCGTGTTGCGTTCCTTTTTCCGTCTGAGCATTGCAGCCATTGGGTCTCCCTCCCTTTCCTGCTCTCTCAACATGCGGTCAAGATCCTCATCATCGCAGTGACGTGCCAGCGGCTTCTGGGCTTCATGCAGGGCATCCTCAAGTTTCTGTTGATGCATCTGGCTCTGGGCCAACCTATAAACATGAGGTGACTTTCATCATGGAAACAAATCGGCACAAAAACCCATTTGAAGTCTTTCTGTGGTCACACTTGAAGCGTTCGCTAATGTGTGAAACATGTTATGCAGACTTACCCTTTCCCCCACTGTGCATATTTCTCATCCTTTGCTGCTTTGATTCCAGCTTTCCTCTTCTGTTCTTCTCTCTCTGTATCTAAATCCCTCCTTTTACCGCTCTTGTCTCGGAACACCGTCTGAGCATTGCGGGATTCATCTAAGTCATAGCAGGAAAAAAAGTATAAAATCTTTCAACTTCACAAGAACTAATTACAACTTTGACCAAATATATATGTAAGCATTTGAAGTGCATGTATGGGTCATGTAGAGGATATGAGATGGAAAGTCCTGTGAAGGAAAAGTTTCCTAAAAAAAGAAAAGCCGAACCAACCTTCTAGTGGCTGGTTGTTTTTTTCTCTGCGTCGGTTCTCCTCCTGCTCCTTTCTTAAAACATCTACAGAAACCAGACCTGCCTTCCCACCAGAAAGCATCCGCGGACCCTCAAAGAAAAGCAAAAACAACATGGCTTTGATACACTGGAAAAACCATACACACAGCAATGTGAAACAAAACACAATTTTCTTACCTGTGACTGACCAGGTCTACGAGGTGGCGACAGATCTTCATCCGAGTCCTTTCCACTCTGTGGCCGCCTCCTGGGTGGCGACTGGTCAGAGTCTGAGCCTCGTTTTTTTGAGTGCTTCCGAGGAGGAGACTGGTCTGAGTCTGAAGCTTCTCCCTTTAGTGGTTTTCTTCGTGGAGGTGACTGGTCCGAGTCTGAATCATGCCTATTTTGAGCTCTCTTTGCCAATGGTGATCGATGAGCATCAGGGGAACGTTTTTTACTTGATGATGAGCTGGGCTTTTTTCTGGTGGGTGATGAATCTGACAAACAAATAATTTTTTATTTTAAAAGTGTTCATATAACTAAACAATTGAATCAAACATACTTTCCTTATGTGCAAGAAGTCATTAGGCCAGTTTGATTGAGAGGGGAAGACATTAAAAAACCTGAAGGGATAAAGTTTACCAATATATGGATACATACGGATTCATCGTTTATCACATTTTACTGTAATGATATTGGATTTTTCATACTATGAATCATGATACACAATATTATTTTCCACCGTAAGCTATTACTAATTTATAGTCTTCCTAAATGACTTCTGAAATACTTATAATAATAGAGTTCCAGCAAAATAAAAATTACGTTTTAGTTTGATTGGTCTTCCATTAATAGTGCCCTGCCCAATGTAGAAAGTGACCAGGTTCGCTCTCAAAAATAACTTCTCACCACTCACCTTTACTTTGAGCCTTCCCTGTTCTCCCTGACCGTTGTCTAGGAGGTGACAAGTCTGGTGAGTCATGGCGTCCTCTTCTTGGGGGAGATACGTCTGGAGAGTCATGGCGTCCTCTTCTTGGGGGAGATACGTCTGGAGAGTCATGGCGGTTCTTTCTGACAGGAGAATCATGTCTCCTCCTCTTTGATGACAACTCAGGCGAATCGTGGCGACTCCTGCTCAATTCCGAAGGCTCTGAATACAGATGCCCTCCTTCCCCATCTTCTGTGTCTTTAATTTCATCGGCTATTGGGAGAGTAGAGTCAGATTAAAGAAAAGTGTTCACAGCAAAGATAAATATTCTCTTGACTTCATTCACAAACACCAATTACCTCCAATCACCTTCCATCTATTGCTGGTTCTGAAGGCTTCCATCTGTTTCACTTCCTCTGGTCTCTCGTCAATCATCTCAGCAACCTTATTAGACAAATGCAAGAGTTGACGTTTCAAGAGAGGGTTGGGCAGAATTCCGGTATGAAATATATATTGGTATTTTCTGCTAAGCGGGCTGGGGAGGGGGGGTGGCGGTTTTAGGGGGTATGTTTTTACTACTTTTAGTAACTTAGCTTGTTTCTTATTTCACCGTTTTAATTATATTTCATTCTACATCTTAAGTGTCACTCGTTGAATTTGTCTCCTTCAGTTCTCTTCACACTCACAGAACAAACATAATAATTAACTCAACATCAAACTATATCGGTATAAACAGTATCGTCTAATTTCATCTCTCTTTTGAAATTATAACAGTATACATTATATACTGATATACCGCCCAGCCCTAGGTTGGGCAATATGACAAAATATTTGACAATCATCATATATTTTGCCAAGCTACCTAAACAACAGAAGCTATCTCCTTAATACCTCTGCTTGTATTTCAGCATTATAATCAATGTTGCAATTAGTAGGACTCTATTATGGCAATATTTGTATGACTATTGCATCATTGTGATGATGTACCTTGATTTTCCAGACAATTAACAATATCACATTTTGCGCTGAAATGATTAGTCATTTTTCAAGCAAAAGGCCAAACATAAGCTAAATGCAGCTTTTAAATTGATAGGATTTGCTGTTTTTAATGATCTTATCCTAAATTGAATATTTTGCTATTCTGGACTGCCAGACAAAACAATTGATTTAACTTTAGGCTTGAGTAAATTGCACCATTTTCTATCATTTTATAGGCTAAAATCATTGTTTGCAGCCCTAATCATAATATATATCGATACCTTTTTGGAAAATGACATATGCCGTGACAATTTTTTATCCATATCGCCCACTATCTTAAGATATACTTGTATTTTACAAAAGCAATGCGGTTTTGACATTAGTACATTTCTCTTCATTTAAACCAAGATAAACCAACCATAACACAGCTTCATTGAATGGATGAAAATTACAGAAAAACATGTACACGGCATGTTTTTTAAGGTGTACACGGAGAAGTTAGCGGGCTGATCACTAAGTAAATAAATGAACACAGGCTAGCCAGCTGCATAACCTTAGCCAAGTTCTTACCACTGGCGCTTCCTCTTCATCCTCTTCAATCTCCTCCTCCTCTTTGGCCAGCTGTTTCCAGTCTATGTCATCGTCTACTATTTTAAGTCTTGAATGTCAGAAGTAAAAGTGAGTTAGTATATACACTTTTCACTCGTAAACAAGGACTTTAAGGCACCGAGTGGCGCTAAACAGTACCAGCGACCCCAGCTAGCTTAACAGCTAACACACATGCACTACATGCCCGGCAATAACTTTATTAAAAAGGACCCGCCGACTCACCCTTTCTCAGGAACCTTTCGCCGTTTCTTTTTAAGCTTCCCCTTTGACTTCTTGGCATCTTTATCCGCGGATAAGTAACGTTTTAGGTACTCGGCTTTAGATAGTTCTGGTCCTTTACTGCTAACGCTACCAGTTGAAGCAGCCATCGTTATGTTGTCAGACACTACGGATGGCACCGAGGGTCAAAAATGCCCATTTCGGCAAACTCTGCCACTCTCACTTTAAAGACAACAATGGGGTATGGGCTTTTTATATGACAACATAGAGATGTTCGTGGAGAATTAGAAACATTAGGCGTTAAATTAATCATTTTTGGAATTTTAAATAGAAGATGTTGGCCTGATTTATGTAACAAAATGGGCGTTGATTAGTGTCAGCTCCCCTGTAGTGAAATTATGAAACTAAAGTGTAACTGGTAAAAATGCCATTATGATAATAAATAAACCGACTCTCATTTTGAGTTTTAATGATTGATTAAATTGATTCATTTATATATTTTACTCTCTTCATAGGATTATTTATTTCATATTGGCATATCTATATCTAATATTGAACACTTTGGGGCTCTGTAAAGTCCGGCATTAATCACATAAATTAATTAGATTAGAGGACAGGGATTATTAAATGTCTTTGAGTGACTGAACAGCCTTTTCATTTCCAGCCACAATTTCTTTATTGACTCGTCCACTCCACTCCGCGTTGTTGTCATTTTTAAGTTTAGCTTTATGCTTGGGAGGCAAAGCTGTGGCTGGTGAAGACCCTGCCAAATATTGTTATGCACAGTCATCAATCTCTCCTCAGCAGTTGTTACAGGTGTCTTGTCGTCATCCCTCCCGAGTCTCCATGCACACTCACTCAGCTTCCTGCTGTGTCATACTCCTTTCATGTCTTAATGATTACTTTAATGATGGAAATGCTCCTTTATTCATCCCCTGACTTGTGCTCTTCAATCACCTTTTCACAGAGTTTCTTCGAGTGTTCCTTTGCCTTTATGGTGGAGATTTTGCCACAATGATGACTCACTTATGGGTCTAAACTGCAATCAATTAAACTCCCTGCCTACACACTCTTCATCTCCATTTAACTAATTATGTGAAGATGCAGATTCATTCATTCTCCTGGTAGGCATTTCCTACTAAAGGTGGTGAATGCGTAAAGGGTATATGTACTTTACTTTATATGCACTGTAGATCAACTGGAGAGCTCTTTGAATTATACTGTTAACCACCCTACACGAAAAATTCACATATGTTGTCTTTCTAATGATGTAAAACATTTACTGTCATCATTAACATTAGTAGCCCTTTTCTCCAACATGTTGGAGCTATTGTGCATGCTGTTGCTTTAAACAATGATATTTCCATCTGTGTCGCACTTCTGTCCAACTATTATGAACAATGAATTCACAAGAAGACCATGTCTGACTTTAAACTGCATCCCTTTATTGAAAACAAATGCTGCAGCTTCCAAAGTAATATTTACAAGCCAAGTTACTCAGTGTATTCATACGCATACAACTAGGCGTGCCTCTACAGCAAAAAGTACATCTATAAACATTTCCTTTGAATCATCTTTGAGTCATCTTTATTCTTTCTCGTCAAAAAGAGTTATGAAAACACTAATACCATTTCAGTGCTTTTGGGAGGCAGACAAGAAAAGGAGGGACAGTTGCAAGCTACTGACAGCATCAACATGTGGGTGTTATTGTGGGGATGTTTGTAGATGCGGATAGATGTGTATGCATGGTTAGATGTGTGACAAGCCTGCATGGTTGTTTTGTTCTTTTTAGCTGCGTGTTTGACAGAAGAAGAACAGCAAACAAACGATCCAGGAGCAGGAGCTCTTCAGGAACACGCTCACAGCTGAACACGGAACAAGTTGCTCTGCAGAAGAAGAAAAGTGAGATGCAAACAGTTATGTCGTATATGTCTCCCACTCACTTAATCTCATGCTCACTCCCCCAGGTCCACACATACACACAACACAGTGGATCCACCTACGTTTCTCCACTGTGACTATGGCAGGCACCCCAGATATTTTGCACATGTAGGTGGTGTTGTGTGGGAGTGTGTCTGTGAAGCCGGTCAGGGTCATTCTGTAGCCGTGTGGCTCTAGCTCCTCCACTTGGCTTTTGCCACTAAACTGGCTATCTGGGGATGAACCAGACACATTGGTGTGAATGAGGGACTCTTTGGTTCCAGTGGACCAAGAGAACTCATAGCTGTTGATCGTGTTGGGCTTGGGCTCGATCTGACAGTCCACTCTCAGGTCTCTGTCATCTTCAACACACACAGAGATTAGACCACACTTTGCTGGGATCAGCAACACTGTGGGGGAAAAAAACACAGGAGGACATATGAAAAACACGGAAGGGACGAAGGGACGAATATGTAGACATATATTTCATTCAAAACCCTTTTGTATGCCTTTTCACAATAGTAGAAGTCTACAGAAATATTCCTCACAAATAATTCTCACCTCCCAGCACTCCATACAAAAACAGAGCCTTGAGCATGATGTCAAAGCACCCATCCACCTTTAAAGAAAAAAGAGGGGAAATGTGAGAAAGAAAAGAAAATTACAGAGAGGAGGATCAACGAGAATAAAATGTAAACAAACGCCAAATTTAGTTATGATCTGCTCCCCAGGCTGTTGTGAGGTCATTTTGGTGAGGTCATGATTTACATTGAGTTACATTAAAGTACAAAGACAAGAAAACACTGAAAAGCTACCGCAGTAAACAAACTTAAAAGACTGAAGCACAGTCCACCTGTAATCTAATGACTGTACATAATTTAGAGTGAAAGATGACACAGTTCTTTTTCTTCTCTATTTTACTGCCTGCTTATTATATTATTTCTCACATTTCTCCAATGCCCTTGACACAGTTTTGTATTTATCACTGTCTCAAGCCTAATATTAAGTCAGTTTTTGATGTTAAGTCATAGGCTGACGTTTACATATCTGTACATGTAGGTATTTTCTGCACACCTACAATTCTAGCATATTCCACGACTCCCTAATATGACTTTAGTCCTCATATCTGTTCCCCCGAGCTGCAGCTGAACAGCTTTAAGGAGTCTTACCTTCAATGAGGGCTGGATGATGTAGCAGTTCCTGCCTGCGTGCTGTTTTTGTGCTGGGGAATAAAGAGCTGGTCGTATTTGTCTCGGTGTTTAGCACTGCAGAGCATCACACATCTGACTCAAGGTAGGGGCGATACAGAGAGGTGGATTGAGAGTGGGAGGGATGAGGGTGGACCAGAGAGTGCTGATTCGTCTTTCTTCTCTGCAGTGCCTGGTAGAGGACAGGGGGCGGGCAGGGACTCTGAGGCAAAACTCGGTCAGCATCATTGTTTTATGACCTTGTTTCCTTTCCTCGCTGGTCCTTGCCTCTTTGTCTCGTGTCCTGATTTGCCCTTCATGTTTGTGTATATGGTAGCCTCCCTCTGATTTACACTTTCAAAGGTGCTCTCATACATTATAAATTACTTCCACAGAGTTCTTGTAATGTACTCTGCATATGCCTGTATGCTTATTGTGGTGAAAAGATTGTCTACCTTAGATTATTATTTAAAAGAATATAAAGAAATATGTCATTATGTTGACATCCTGTGTGCACAGTATAAATGCATACCACCACGTGGTGGATGTGCAACCCCCTAGAAATTTCTAGCACATACCAAATACCAAATGACTCATGTACAGTGGCTCAGTGTCACCACCTTAAGACCAATAAAAGCAATTTCACAATATAAGTTGGATGCAGATTCATGGCATCACAAGGTGCCAGTGTTCATCAGTGATTACAAAGCTTAGTGGTTGCTGTATATTGATGGATATGAAGCACAGTACAGAAACTACTGTGGAAGTAAGGGTTCACAACATGGAAGCCATCTGTATCATCCACAGTTTAACTTTGTGAGAGTGACAGAGCAAAATGCTAAAATGCAGATGGAAAAAAAACACTTAATGATCAGAGATGACTTTGCTGTTCCCAGCATACTCGGTGCAGAAGGCAGGAAAACATCTGGTCTTGTTCATAAAACAGGAAGATTGATGTCGAATTAATAAATTAAAAATAAATATTACACAGTAACATCTGAAGAGTTTTGATTTTGTCTGAGACAAATCTACAAACATAAGAAGCTGTAAAAAAAAAAAAAAAGTGGGCTTGCCTTATTGAAGACTGAATAAAGGATATGGAGCAGGATTTGAGGTTAACAAGGTGGCTTCTGGATTGACCCTGGGTTTTCAGTCCTAGCACAGTGGTTCACTTCTTACCAGGGTACATCACTATGGTAACTTATGCTGAACACTTATGCTTATGCTTGCAATAAAAGATGAACGGTATAAAAGGACCACCTACTGACCAGTAAATTCTCTTAGAAAGCCATAACCCATTCTTCTTGACAATGAAGTGCAAACAAAATATAGCTCAATTATTTTTAAAATCATTGATTTTCATAAGAAATATTGTGTTACTTCTCATAATAACATGGATACCCTGATCTTCCAGTGATATTGCAACCAAACTATATATGAATGAGGTTCCTATAACATCTTTTTGTGGAAAATGAATGCAACCTGGGACACATTTCTCTTCAGCTTATAAGACAGATGTGTCACAGTGCCTCCTACATCATTTTTTTCTCTTTCATCATCTGGCCTCAAACTCTTTCTTCTTACTTTCAGTGTGTTCAGCAATTATCAAGTTTCAGCTTCTGTCATTTCTCACCCACCTACAGTCTCGACAGATCTTCTCTCCTCATCAGATGTCCTCACCTTTGGACGTATCATTTTGCAATTATATGTCCTTTCTCCAGCAGTTTTCTGTGCACGTGAACATCAAACTCTTATGTTGCCATGAGCTGTATGTAAACTGTTCAATGTGTGCCAGTTTTGTATACCACAGGGCTGGATATTTCAACATGTTCTAGCCAATCTCATGCTATACAACGCCCATTAGTCCACGTAGTGCTTGTGGAAATTCTGTTGGAATAAACAGCCAACACAAAGAGTTGTATTTTTGTAAGTTTATTCAGTCATCAAAAAATGTACTCAGCAGCAACTCACATACATCAGAGTACATGAACGTTTGGAATGATTAAGAGATGCAGGCAGTGCGTCTTTATCCTGTTTGAGGGTCACGCATTATCTTAACACCAGCCTGTCCCCCAGAAAAACAGCCTAACAGGGTGTTTGTGCAGCACATTATTACGACCCATATTAACAACCCATATTTACGTTTATTGAGGCAATGATTTCTAGTGCAAGATAGTAGACAGTAGCAAGATAGTCCACATAACAACGTGGATGGGGTAGATGATGGGATGGATGGTTGTGTCAAACCAACCCAGGACTTTCATGCAGGAGAGTGGCGTTTGAGTCCCATGTGAAACTCAGTAAATGGTGAGTTATTTTGATTTTTAGGTTAAGTTGCATTACTGAATTCTATCACGTGAGCTACGTGAGTTCCATCGTATGTTAAATCATGTGACTGATGTACTTATTTTAACCCAAACCACAATGTTTTCCTAAACCTAACCAAGTAGTTTTGTTGTCTAACCAAATTGCAACAATTTAACAACATTAACCAAGTGTGTTATGTGACTTGCCATAACGTAGTTAACATTCGGTCCCCTGTCGCTGGGCTGGTACGGGAAAATGGATAAACTACCTATGCTTTCTGAAAAGCGTTTGCTGCCCTCTCCAAGTGTGGAGGAGGCAAAATGTGAAATGTGATATTAAATCAAATGCACTAATTAGCACAAATTTTTTAATTGTGCATATCCATAACACGACCTAGGCTAATCATCCATTCATTTAAGTCAGCCAGCAAAACAGATCAGGTCAGGGCTCAACACTCAGTTTCATTAGCGGGTGGTAGCATCAGGACAACAAACAGTGTGGAGGGGGCCACTGGGAGCTAATTCCTGTAGCTTCGCCCCTGTCTGGGCCCCCAATTACGTCTATTGAGTCTGCTCATTTAAAATAGCCTGACTGCGCCTTTTTCTAATTGTGCACTACAGACTGCGGGCGGTTTGCTCAGCTCAGCCCTCTCACAGTGGCAGATAGTTGTAGGTCGGGACTGGGGGTAGGCTATCTCGGAAATAATCTGCCCACGCGTTAAGCTGCTTTATCCCCGGCAAGCCTCAGCCGGACAGAGACGGCTGCAGCTCCGTTACCAGCCAGAGGGAAGTCGGAATTAGAGTGGGAGAAAGAAAAAGTGACACAGGCTGCGGAGACAAGTTTGAAAAAATATTTTCAGGGTGACACAATCAGAGTCAAGTGTGCGCTCGGTTTGCAGCATACATGGAGACCTGACTGGACCCGGACCGACAGACCTGAAGCTGAACCGGCTGCCGTGCGTTAAGTCTGGGAGGCAGGAGACATAAAACAAAGTGCACACTGGGAATTTAACCACAGAGAGAAGCTGGCACCGGTGGTTTGGGCATGGACAACACTGGATTTTGGATATTCCTGATGACAACTTGTGTTATTCCAGGTAGGCTGTTCTGCTTTTCTCAGCACCTGTTCAGTAATAGTGATGTGAATCCAGGTGAAAGGCTTGTGAAAGGTGATTTCTCTGTATCAAATCTGTAGGCTACCAATCACAAAGGAGGAGATACAGACAGAGGGAAGAGGTGGCAAAGTAGACTATAGAAAGATTGTGCAGAGAACGATTCAATGTCATGTAACTATTTGTACATTCAGTGTACAGAGAGTATACCCATCTCAACTTTGTCTGACAAACAACAGGTCAGTTCGAAGTAGAAATCATAGTTAATCACCTAATCATCTTTTGTATTTACCAACTGTATCACCTGTTCATTCCCTTTTGTATCATGAATTTTTATGAGCATACTGTTTTTAGTTTTAGGCTTTTATTTTGGTATCATTTTTTTTTATATGCAGACTATATTAATAAACAGTGGTAATAATGTCTTTTGCCAATTTTGAATTTAAAGACTTAGTATCACATGTAGCACACATCATTGTCATGTAAGTAGAAGTTTCTGATAAGTCACCCATAATTAAGGGTTTTTGTGTTGTAATTCATTAATAATGATTAATAAATAATTCACTATGATTGGTTAGACCTGTTATAAGCTGTAAAAATCCCTTTGGATGGTTGTGATGCCTGCAGGTATAAATATTAGTGATATCTTTCACAATCTGGCAACCTTAAAGTTCTTATTATTGACTTGCAACTAATCTATAAAGCATCATGATTTATTGACTATTACTAAATCCATTAGTTACAACTTATAAACCCTTTATAGTAGATGTTTGGTGATTTTTTCATTTTTATTCTAAAAAGTGAATTCTCAGTATACTGTAGGGTATAGGTTCATTCATTTTCTAGCTGCTTTCACTCATGTTTGTTTTAGATTCAGTGCAACTCTGACACTTTCAGATTATCAACCTCCTCTCATCTTCATAGCCAAATGTTTTAATCTCTGACACTACACGACTTTACTCTTGATCAGTGCAGAAGCCAAATCAGACGACAATGTCAAAGTAAACGTCGTCTGGTTTCAGCAGGTGCAGATGGCATCCCCACATCTTACAGCGTGTGTGTTTGAATTAATGGACTAACTCTTGCCTCATTGTAACAGGTGCAGCTGTGTGACCACACTAAGCTGGGGCCAAACATACAGCTGGCATCAGAGTCATGGCTGTGTAATAAAAAAGAGGCGGTGGTGTACGTATTGACAAAAGTGATTGTGGCAGCATACGGATGCGTTGAGCTGCTGTAATTGCTTTTTTCACTCAGTCAGTGTTGATTACCCGCCAGAAGTAATTTTCTGGTGTGCATACATGCGTTTATATGTTATTACTAAGTGTGAGGCCGCACCATGTGTGTAGGATTGTCATGTTGAAGGATAGAGCAGTGGATTAGAGTTGCACAGGGAGCAGGAAGGGTGTAACAACATGTTAGCTGCCAAGTCCCAGCCTGCTGATTGTTGCTGAGTGTCTGTCTTCTACTGGCTGGTGTCAGCCTCTGTAGACTGTCCCAGCGTTTTTCCACTTCACATAAAAGTTTGCAATCATCCACTGCAGAAAGACACAGAAAAGGCTGACTGAGACTAACAGACAGACATCCTCATACATTTTTGCATAATCCACTGTCCACAGCTGGAACACACAGACGCTACCCCACAGAAATAATCCAGCACAAACACACAGCCCTTCTGTTCCTCATCCTCTTTTGTTTGTCTCTTCTTTCTGCACCGCCCTCTCCAAAGTTGGCCCATTTGACACCTGTCTTTTCCCCCTCTCATTGTCTGTCAGTCAGTTGATCTTCTTCCAAAGCCTTTTTATTTATTTCTCTTCATCTCCTCTCCCTCTTTTTATGCTCCTCTCATGTCCCACAACACAGACGCAGCAGCAACAGTCATCATAATCCTGTGAGCTGCCTGCTGAACACAGGCCAAGTGCACACTCCACGTTCCTGCAGTGCCACTGAGATTACACACCCACACAAACACGCACTCATATACACGTGTTTGCACATGCAGAAACCCCAATCAAAAACAATGAGAGATTATCATTGATTTATGGAAATGTGAGGAGAACAAGTGTTTTCTCCATTTCAATCAGGCAAAAGCAGAGAAGAGCCGACATAATTTTGCAAAGTGGATATCCAAAAGTCAGTTTCCGTTGTTCTTTGCTGTCCCACTGTGCAATCTTCTGGTAAAGAGCAATAAAGACAGATGCAAAGTACAATAACTAGTCACAGGTATATAGTCGGATCACAAAGCAGATGCATCGTGAAGGTTTTAGTTTGAGCATTGTGTGTGTGTTTTTGTGCATGTGTCACAAGTCACAAGTCCAAAGGCCAAAGACACAAACACAGTGTGTAATCCCCGATCAATCACAGATTTGATGGCCTAAAGATTAAACAGTTAATCTGTCCTCTGCTCTTTCTCTCTCTGTGCTTTTCATTTCCTCGTCGGTTGCATGAAGTCAGTTCATTTGTATCTGCGCCCTTCTGGTAGCCAAATGAGCGAGGCTGAATGTAGATGTATTTTGTTCAGCCTTGAAACGTCGCAGCTTAATGTGATGATTTTTACTGACAGCACCACTGCAGATAAGTTTAAATATTAAATATTTTCAGTCTCAGACACATACTTGAAGAATAAATTCTTGAAGTACTGATTTGGTGCCAATTTGACAGAACAGTTCTGTGATTTTCTCTCATCTTTGTTGTCCAATTTTCAATCAAATGTTGCCAAACCCTAGTCTGTACAAATAAACTGATGTGGATTTTGATTCAAATAACTTTTTTTAAATAAATAGTGTGTGTGCAACATTTTCAGATTTAAGACTCAAACTTAAATCTGCCCAAATAACTATCAATTTATAGCTGTTGGTTGTTTAGTGTTTTTGAGTTGTTATATGTTAGTCTCATTTAGTTATTAGTTCTTAAATATTTTTAGCCAGACAAGTGACATTGCAATGTCTGTCTGTCCATCTGGACTGAAATATCTCAATGTTTTGATAGATTTTATTGAGATTTTGTAAGTTTTTTGTAAAGACAGTAATGGTCCCCATAGAATGAATCCTAATGACTTTGGTGATCCCCTGACTTTTCATCTAGCGCCACAATGAGGTCGACATTTTGTGTTTAAGTGAAAGGTCTTGACAACTATTTGATGGATTTCTGTGAAATTTGGTACAGACATTAATGTCCCCCCTCAGGATGAACTCAACTTTGGTGACCCTTTAACGTTTCATCAAGTGGCATCAAGTCAATAATTTTAATTTGTCCATTTGGTTCATCACCAGATATCTGCAAAACTAATAACATTCCCATCAGCCTCAGATGTACATTGTGTTTGGTGCCAATAGGCAAATGTTAGCATGCTAACACACTAAACTAAGATAGTAAACATGGTAAACTGTAGCTACACCTGCTTAACATAAGCATGTTAGCAAGCCAATGTTAGCATAAAAGCACACCTGTGTCTAAGTACAGCCTCACAGAGGTGGCTTGCTGTAGACTGTTATTGTTTTACACAGCTCTTGGGTTGTTTAAAGGTGTCATTTAAGTTATTTCTCGGGTTAAATATTTGATGATGATTATACAAATTATATATCTTATATTTTAGAACATTCTTATTTTTTATCACAAAGAAACTTTCACATTTAATTAAAGGTTACATTTGTATCATATCTGAAATTTGTATTGGTGTATGCCCAAATCTGTAAACTCTATAGCAAAAAGAAATAGCTTTGATAATGAAGCTTCAAGGTACCTTTTACCATCTTTTTCCTAACAGCCTACAGCAAAACCTGCCACTTCCTCCACTTCCTCTCTGGTGGACTCTCAAACACACGGGAAAAGGTTAAAATGGCTTGTCACATAATGAGTAAGATGCTGAAAGATGGAGGATATGCATTCAGGATAAAAATAAAAAGCCCAGCACCACACTGCGACGCGCCCGCTGTCCTTGCATGTTGCACATTCAAGTGTGAAACAATATTGCTATTGTTTTGTTACGTTCCCATGGTCTTCTCGTGCCTGTGCATTGCCTTTTATGGATTATTGTCATGAGGACTGGTGAGGTCATTTCCCATAGTCTAAACAATAGAAGAATGTGAATGGAAACATGGTGGGAGAGATGACGGGTCAATGAGATACGGATGTGTGTGTGTGTGTGTGTGTGTGTGTGTGTGTCAGAGACGTAGGCTCTGTCTGTTCTGCCCTCACCTAAAGCCCCTAATCAGCTCAGCAACAAAAGCTCAGTAGGGGGGACTCTCAGTGGGATACGTGTCTGTGTCTGTGTGTGTGTGTTTGTGCGTGATGGATAGAGTTCAGACAAAGAAGTCAGAAGCAAGTGAAAGGTATTTTACCTCACCGAAGAAAATTGAGAATCGGAAGAATGTTGCAGATTAACTATTTTAATAAAAGGCTGAAACCGATGAAAGTGACTCTTACATAAACAATAGACTCCTATGATGCATTTAGTAAGTATTACAAATCTACTAATCTAATACTGATTATAAAGCTACTACTAACTACTAAAGTTGTTTCTTACAGGCATGGAGGCAGAACACAATTGCACAATCCACAATATTTCAGCAGTAATTGTGAGCTGTCCATATGTACAGCAGCAAATGGACAATACATTATCTGATACAGATGCACTTTAATATCCAAAATGCTGTAATCTACTCACACTGCTGGCGTTCTTCTCCCCCAATGCCCCGCAATAACACGCAGAATGGTTTATAAAAGTGGGCACATAAGTCACAGTCCTCTAATACAAAACTACTAAACATATTGGAATAACAAAACACATATGGCTCAGGTTGTGTTTGACTTCATGTGATGATGTTGGACATATTTTTGATGTTCGATGTCAGCAGAGCAGATGGCTCCTAAGAGGTCTATCTGCTTTTGTGTCTGTTTGCATGCATAAAACATGCACGAATGTACCATATACCAAATACATTTTTGCATATTAAATGCTTTATCCCGTAGTTTTACATCTTTACAAAAGATGAGACCAAACAAATCTATTAAATAAATGTATTCTGTAATCACCATTATCTAAATGAGGCTTTGTGTGTGTTTTGGTCTTTCAGGTGATTTTATAGCTCAGTGAAACATTTTGCAGGTCTTAGGAGGCGGTAAAGCAAACTTGTTGCTGTTTTGAGGGCACAGAGCGGCATGCTTCACAGACTTCTGACTTGGTGTTTGACCTCACCTCCCCTGGTTTATGGGAAGCTGAAATATATGAATCTGCTTGCTCTGTGTTTAGAGAGATTTGAGAATGTGCCAATACCATGACTCTTTACTGTATTTCAGAGCTGCTTGGCTTGTGTGTTGCTTTCTTTAACATAAAGAATTGATATAAATAAACAATGTGGCCGAGGGCTTGTGGGTATGTAGAGAACAGGATTGGACCCAGGATACACCCCTGGGGTGCACCAAGTCAATCAAATGAAATGACAAAATATATCATTTGTAATTGCCCCCAGAACAAAACATATAAGCCTTTTTATCATTTGACAGTCCCCTCTGTTGCAAAAAAGTTTTCTGATCAGACACCTATGTGGTAAAAAGTGTATTCCACCAATTTAGCATTGCACTCCTATGACATTGGTGGACTCATGATGGACAGTTTAAACCTGGCACCTACATTACCTACAATGCAACTTGACCACAGACAGTTTAGTCGGAGATTCAGGTGTGTTACAAGCACCAGCTAACATAGCCTTGAGTCGCTGGCAGAGATGATGAGTGAGCTACAGAGCTCACTTCAGCTTCACTTCTTTCTAAATCCACACCTACAGATAAATGTTTTTTCAAATTTGTAGTTACAGGAGGAAAACCCTCAGACCGGGCCAGGGGCCTTGAGGTCTCCACGCTCATACTTAGTAGTTCTTGAATGAATCTTATAACCCAATCAATGTAAACTGTTGTCTTTTCAATGTGAATTGTATTCCTTCCAGTGAGACATGGAATTGAACAAAGTTCAAATCAACACAAGTTTAGTGATAATTTCAAATAAGTGCAAATACTAATACACGTGTATCTGAGCTAGTTCCAGGGAGCAAACACATCAAACTCCTTCTTGCTCCTCCTCTTGTGGATCTTAAGTTAAGACCCACCTTCTCCCCTTCACATCAATATTAAAACAACTTGCCCTATGACAATTCTAAATAAAAATAAAGACTGAAATGCAACATATATCAATAAACATCATTTTGGTGAAAGGAAAGTATTCCATATGCACAAGTCAGTCAAGTGCATCATGTTCGTGTGTCGTATCGAATGCTGACCTTCACCTAACTTGTAAGAGCAGCAGCCTACCTGCAACATTGTATTGCAAAAAAGTGAAGGCCACAGACTGAGAGCAAAATGGTAAAAAGGCTGCAAGCTGGTTACACATTGTCGGTGCATTGACCATGACTCTAATAAGTATGAAACACCTGTAATTAAAATTTTAGAAGAAAAGGAGCATTGACTCCACTTCTGCTAGATTTTGTGCAACTGAAATTTAACAAACTTAAAATTACCACAAAAAAACCTCAAAAACATTATTTATTATTTTGCCTTATAATGCCTCTTAATACTGGTGCCAGTGCATCCACAATGCATCGCAAGACAACATATGACAATACATTTTAGTATTTATAAAATATCCTTCCTGAATAATTGTCAGAGGGAACAGCTTTAGTTATGAAGGCTGCGCTGTCAGCCTGCTGTGTTTTTGAGTGGTTACCCCTTTGATAGAGACTGGACTAGAATGCTGATGGACCGATCAATATTCCTCCATTAATAACATGGAAATATTGGACTGCATGATGGCCCATGAACCATGGCACCTCATTATATCTGTTTTTAAAAAATACAATATGCCAAACATGGAAATCACCCCTGGGTATGGGTTACATTCACACTGTCGTCATCTTATAATAAAGTTTCCAGTCATTTGGTTTGTGACATTAAATGTTTGAGAAAGTAAACAGCTGAAGAAAAGTTTGCAGAGAATGAGAGCAGCCGATGTTCTGTTCAGTGTACCATCCTTGTTCTTTATCCTGCAATTTATTCTCTATGAATTAAATATATAGATTAAATATGACGTTAGTTATAGTGTATCTGAAAACACCCAAGTAAACACACGTCACTCACGTACACTCAGGAAGTGACTCTGCTGTGGATTTGTTGAAGGGGATCAGTAAGTCAGTGGGATCAGTAACCAAACAAATCGTGCTTATTTATACCTCACTCTAATCCAAAACCTTTGCCCTGAGCTCACCCCTCGCCCTGCTGAAATGTATCACCTTTGACAGCTCAGCTCACTTTATCAGCTCAACATGCAATGCTGACTGTGAACCACTTAGAGTTTGCCTATCTGATGCTGCCAACATGTGCGTATTTGTGTGTGTGCGCCCAGCGTAGGTGAAAGCATGTTTACGCCTTTAACTGTTGTGTGTTTCTCCTCCAGGAATAAATGGCCAGACTGTGGAAATGGATGACGGGAAGTGGGGGTATGTTGGCTCAAAGGCCGATCTCCGCTGTCGGTTCATCAACAGCTCCCCGCCGGTCAAAATCTCCCAGGTATTCAGTCATCCACCTGAACACATGGATTACACCCAAGTGTATGCAGATTAAAACAAACAATACATAACAATCACAAAAGCAATACCCACAAGACATGCCTTCCATATTCCACATAAATCAGCAGAAACACTGCCACTGCGTTTATTGCATTTAAGTAACCTGGTTATTTTCATCTTTCTGAAGGACTTGATTTCTTAAGCATCCTGTGATGAATCCGGTTGAAACAGTTATTTATATTTTTTTTATAATAACTATGTATTAAATGTCAATGTGAAAACAATGTGACAATGTCACCTCTAGTAATGAATCTGCAGATAAAGTTAGGAAGTAGCTGGTGAACATAGTGGAGCATTGGGCAGCTAAAGAGACAGATATTTCCCTCAGGAGTGGGTAGAGACCAAAAACAGCGCAAATAGAGAGTGAATATCGGACTTACATTCATCAGGTGGCCAGAAACACAACTAGATAATGTTGCTAAGTAGTTTGTGATATTAATTAGTGTTGCATTCACAACTTGTTTCCGCTGCTCCCAAATTATTTAGGCTGCATGTCATCATTAATGCAATTAAAATATGCAAGCTTTGGTTCAAAGATGTGGTAGGGGAGAAAACTGACTTAATAGTTTTAATTTCACCAGGTTATGTCAGTGCATGTATGTTATCTACCAGATCTCGTTATTAGAGAACCATTAGCCAGTTTCTGTTGACAGAGGCCACATTCAAAAGCATCAGATGTGTCACAGGAAAGAGAAGTAGAGGCTGGATTAGCCTACACATGAATTGTATTCTTGTATTCTTGCTTTTAAGGACACATAAAAACATAATGTCAAAATTTGAGATTTGACCCAAGTATGCACAGATATTCTAAAACAACCAGTGACATTTTTATTTTTAAATCCACTTTAGGGACCATTCCAGCAGTTTGTCCAACCTGTTTAAGCCAATTAACTGGCAACAATTTCTAAATCAATTACAACTTCTTCACCATCTAGGAAGTAACTTTCATTTCAGTAAGACAAGAAATCAAGAAATGTCCCTGCTTTGAACTGCATTACCACTTAACGATGATGTAACTTGGGCAGAAAAAAGGCAGACTCTGACTATTGATTGTCTTTGTGAGCTGATTTTCATCCCATAATTTTTATAGGAAATCAATCTTAAAACTTGAAGTTTGCCTTCGACCATTTTTAATGTAAGATATAAATATAAATATAGAGTAGCCTATACAATGGGTTTGGTATAATTGTGTGACTGCACGTAAGACTGAGGACATTTGATCAAATATACAGAAGCTAATATATTTCACATTAATCTTGTTTGTTTACTGTTGGCCTACTCAATATTATATCACTAATATAATTGTGTCAGATGTCTGTGGTTCATATCAGAGCTCCTCTACTCTTCATCCATCCTTCTTTCTCAAGGTAACATGGCAGAAACTGGTTAATGGCACTAAGCAGAATGTGGCGATCGCCAATCCCTCCCTGGGTGTGTCCGTGGCCCCGCCCTACAGGGACCGTGTCACTTTCAAGAACGCGGCGGTGAGGCGACGAACTCCGACTCTTGAAGACACTACAATCACCTTCTCTATGCTCCGCCTCTCTGACGAGGCAACCTACATCTGTGAATACACCACGTTCCCCGCAGGGAACCGAGAAAATACCGTAAACCTCACTGTCTTCGGTAAGCTGTACATAACCCCCCCTCCACAAAACCACAACTTGTTGTTTTTACATTTCAGTTTTTGGACAAATTAAACAAATGAAGTATAAAGTGTTGTTGTGATGTAGGTTAGCAGCAGTTTCCCTCCGTTTTCAGTCTTTGTGCTAAGCTAAGCTAACCGTCTCCTGGTTCTATCTCTTTTACCTCTCAGCTTAAAGCAAAATAAGCTTGTTTCCCAAAAGTATTGCTTTAATGTGTTGAATGCCACATATGCAAGTCTTCACTGATTTAGCAATGTTCTATTTTGAAGGACTAATTAAGGATTCATTTTTTTTGTCAAACTACTGTTTCCAAGGTCAAGACTTCACTTTCACACACATAAAAATACTGAAAACTGTTTTCTGAATCCAGAAATATAGAGATTTTTTGGGAAAATCATATAGAAAACAACCAATAATGTGAAAATGTAATTTTAATTGTTATTTCACCTTTTAATTTTAGACTTTGAGTCATAACTGCACGGTGGGATGAACACTACCTGTAGATAATAGATAATGAAGGCCAAATTTTGACTTTATAACCAGCTTTTTTAGAAAATGGCGTAATGATGTGCAAATGGATTTTGTTAAATGGAGTCTAGGAGCTGATGAAGGGGCTGCTGTTCATCTTGACAGCTGAGTCAAAGTTATAGCTTTACCCTGTTCTTGAACAGGCTGTCATAAGTTATTTACGTTATATAACATTATACTATATTATCATGCTTTAAAAACATTATAGCATTAGATCAACTCAATGCTTTTTTAAAATTCCCTTAGTTCGCCCGACAACTCAAATGAGTCTGTCCACGCCGACGCTGGTGGCTCGTTCATCCAATCTGAAAACACCCGTGGCCACATGTGTCTCTGCCAATGGAAAACCACCTGGTACCATCAGGTGTGTGTGTCTGCTTTATTGAAAGCCAAGGAGTGTATTCTCCCTTGATTTCATTCTAGCTGAGTTTTACCGCAGCATGTTTTGTGATTTGTTTGGTGTCAACACTACTCTAGTTGTTGAAATCCCACAAATCAGCTCACACTGATGCATCTCTTTGTCGTGAAACTGTTTCCTTGTTGATGAGAGCAGGTGGGAGACAAGGGTGCCGGGAGAGGCGACCTCCCGAGAGTACAGAAACTCAGACGGGACATTCACCGTTCAAAGTGACTACATTTTGGTGCCCAGCAAAGAAACACACAAGGAGACGCTCACCTGTGTCACCACCTACAACGAGGAGGTCTTCACTGACAGCGTCACCCTCGATATTCAGTGTAAATCTTTCTGACACGTAACAAGTATATAACTATACAGGTAAAATAAAGTACACAGGCTAAATAACAAGCTGTTTGTCTGTGTACCAGATGAGCCAGATGTTTCAGTGGATGGGTTTGATGGAAACTGGTATCTGAGCCGAGAGAACGTCCAGCTGAGCTGCCAAGCTGACGCCAACCCAGCCGTCTCTCTGTATCAGTGGAGACTGTGAGTACGACTCCATTTGTTTGTGTTTCACTCAAATTTACTGTCAAAGTGAGAACGCCCAATTACAATCCATCAAGGAGGGTGTGATGCATCTTTAAGTTGAGAAACTGAGATTCTCTTAAAATGGGTCACTTAAAAACACATTCTCTGCTTCCTTTTAGTTATAAACGCAACACTTTTGTTTTTGCCCCCATTCATCATGAGCTGAACTCAAATAACTAAGACTTTCTCTGTGTACACAAAAGGCCTATTTCTTTCAAATATTGTTCACAAATCTGTCAAAATATCTGTCAGTGTGCACTTCTACTATGCCGAGATAATTCATCCACCTCACAGGTGTGGCATATCAAGATGCTGATCAGACAGCATGGTTATTGCACATATGTGCCTTAGGCTGGCCACAATAAAAGGCCACTCGAAAATGTTTAGTTCCATCACACAGCATAATGCCACAGATGTCGCAAGTTTTGAGGGAGCATGCAATTGGCATGCTGACTGCAGGAATGTCCACCGGAGCTTTTGCCCGTAAATTGAATGTTCATTTCTCTACCATAAGCCGTCTCCAAAGGCGTTTCAGAGAATTTGGCATTCAATTTGGCATCCAACCGGCCTCACAACCGCAGACCACATATAACCACATCAGCTCACGACCTCCACATCCAGCATCTTCACCACCAAGATCGTCTAAGAACAGCTACCCGGACAGCTGCTGCAACAATCAGTTTGCATAACCAAAGAATTTCTGCACAAAATGTCAGTAACCATCTCAGGGAAGCTCATCTGTATGCTTGTCGTCCTCATCGGGGTCTTGACCTGACTACAACTTCACACAGCCATTGAAGAGGATTGGACCAACATTCCACAGGCCAAAATCAACAACCTGATCAACTCTATGCAAAGGAGATGTGTTGCACTGCGTCAGGCAAATGGTGGTCACATCAGATACTGACTGGTTTCCGGACCCCCCCCAGACCCACCAATACAGTGAAACGGCACATTTTCGAGTGGCCTTTTATTGTGGTCAGCCTAAGGCACACCTGTGAGGTGGATGGATTATCTCAGCAAAGGAGAAGTGCTCACTAACACAGATCTTGACAGATTTGTAAAAATATTTGAGATAAATAGGCCTTTTGTGTACATAGAGAAAGTCTTAGATCTTTGAGCTCAGCTCATGATGAATGGGGGCAAAAACAAAAGTGTTTATAATTTTGTTCAGTGTAAATTGTTTGTATTGTCGTAGGTTGAAACTGGATAAATATATAAATTAAGTGTTCAAATAATATACTTTTATTGTCACATATACAATCATACACAGTACAACCTATGAAAGATTTATTCTCTGCATTTAACCCATTTGAAAGAAGCCATGGGCAGCTACTGTGCCGCGCCGGAAATATTCAAGAAGCTGAATTCACCCTAAAAAGGAAATTGACAGAATGTCCCCCAAAAATACTCTGTATTTTTCCTTTTTATGTGAAAATTGTGCATTTTCTTTGTTTGAGTACTTCACAAAAAACAAACAAGTCAAGTGCACATCAAGGTCACGAAGTGGAGGGCAATGCATCTTTAAATGAAAGTTATTCACATGGACAAAATGGTGATTGAAGAGACAACTTATTTTAAGTTTTATATTCTATTACATTCTGCAGGGTTAATGGCTCCATACCGAGCAATGCTGAGATCCGAGACAACGTCCTGACCTTTAAAGGGCCAATCACATATGACGTGCAAGGTACCTATGTGTGTGATGCAACCAACAGCATCGGGACACGATCAGCCTCTGTGGAGGTCAGCATTATAGGTACGTTTACCTGAAGTCTGGGGTCATTTGATCTGATGATGAGAGCAAATTTCAAGGAATGTGATTGTTTGAATGTTTATTAATGTGTGTGTGTCTGTGTGTGTTTTCTTTGTAGAAAAGCCATTACCACAGATCGCAACAGGTGATGTCATCAGCGTAATCGCCTTATTACTGGCTGCTGGAGTGCTCATGGGCATTACTATCACAGTCCTGGTGCTCAAAATAAAAAGTAGAAAAGACAACTCCTCGTACGTAATCAGTCCATTTAATTGTTGGTTGTCGTCCTTTGTTTCACACGCTTGTTTGTCCTAACATGTCTCTATTACCGTCCTCATCACCTATCTTTCATGTTCTTTTTCTCATTGATCAGAAATGACTCTCCGTCCAGAAAACTGTCCCAGCCGATAAGGAAAAGACCAGGAGATGATATCCAGGTAACCTATGTGTAGCGTTTTAATTTACATATCTAATGTTCAAAATTTAATGAAAACAAAAACTGCTATAACACAAGAGCCGTATCACAAAACAGCCATAGGCTATCTGGCCCAGTCTGGAGAAACTCCTAAAAATAAGCGGATGTATCAGTCCTAACTGTAGGATGTTTTTGAAGAGCAAAATACTCAAATCATTTTAGCTCTAAAATTAGCTCATAAAATAGAATGAAATTGAACTTTTAATCCATATTTTGGCATCCATTTAATAAGGAATAACGAATCGGCTCACCAAATGGAAACAATCCAGTAACACCGGAGATGACAGTTTTCAGCGTGGATGAACTTGGCATCAGCCATCTGTCAGACTTATCTATCTATCTATCCATCTATCTATCTATCTATCTATCTATCCAAAGTGCATTTAATTTGTTCCTCATGCTCCTGTGTATTCTGTGTATGGAAATTTACTCATGAAACATGATGTATTTCACTGTGCCACTGGTGTTTCAGTTTACAATAACTCACCAAATCACATTGTGTGTATCCAACAAACAAATGTGTTGAATTAATTTCCTTCCTAACAAAACATTTGCAAAGCGGATTTTTTTGGAAATTTTTGGAACCGACATTGTTTACATCCTTGTTTACTTACAAGCGCTCGTCTTCTTTTTCTTGTCTTTGTTGGGGCAATGCTATGTTTCTTGGCACGTTACTGCCACCTGTAGATGGATTAGTGTGAAACCATTGGCAGGACTGCATCATTACATGGCCTCTGAGCTTGTGCATGTGCACAAGAACAAACTAAAGAAAAACATTGCTCCATAGCAATACTAGAAGGTCAGAAACTTCACAGGGTATCTACTATACATACAGTATGCATGCATGCACATTATATCCAGCACATGCCAGTTGAAGAGTGTTTGTATTGTTTCTAATTTGGATATGTCTTTAACATGTCTCTCATTTCTCTACAGCATTCAGGACGGTTTTATGAAGAGCTTCCAAACACAGCGGACTATGTGAGCTACAGACTGGCCTGTAACAAGGAGGACTACCCAGAGCCCTACTCCCCTCCCATTAACCCTCCTCTCTCATTTCTGCCCCAACAACCCTACCACTCATCCCAACCAACCACTGCAACCTGCAGCAGCAGCAGCAGCAGCACCACCACGTCAAAGAACACCTTCTCTCCTCCTTCACATACCATGGCCATCTTTAAATACCCCTCGGTACCGGGCCTGTCTTCTCCTCCCCCAGGAGTAGCGGCGTACACTTTTCCCAAAGAGCAGTACGTCTGAACAGACACTTCATCACAAACTGAAATCCCTCCAGCGAGCTTAGATGAAACTACCTGATTTAAATCCAATTCTTTCCTAAGAGGAGGTTGTTGTGTAACCCTGGACTATCAGGTAGTGTCTCTGCACTGTCTGCACCACTGTGGATGGCTCTGGAAGTCAACAATGCAGCTTTTGTTTTTGGACTTGGAATTGATTCCAATTTTGAAACAATTTTGTCTCTTTTGACTGTTCTTTTATTCTGTTGTTTATTATTTGAAAAGGGAAGATTGTTGAACCATGTTGCAAATGCCACAAAGTTTTAGGATAGAGGACGGTCAAGTTAAAGAAGACTGGGGAAACATATTAAATGGTTATATAACATTTGATTGGAAAATACTTCGAACTGACTAGATGGGATTATCTTTTGATGTCCAATGGTGGACCCCTTATTTTGTCCTCTCTGGAATCATTTTGTAAAAAAAAAAAATGAAAAAGAAACAAAAAAACAGATTATTATTTCCTACTTAATCTCGAATACCCACTCTCTTTATCCTGTGTAGTATACACTGACAATCCCTTCAGTGAGGACCAGCAGACCTCACCTTTTGGTTTTACCTCCTAATCTGATGTAATACTTTTTCTGTGCTTGTGTTTTGTATCATTTATGTTTTTCTTTGCAAAGGAAAAAGAAACATTTTTATTTACTAAAGACATTTATGAAATCGATGTTTTTATTTGTGGTATCTGTGGGTTTTAGTATTCATTGACACTGGTTGTTGCATGAGCCTTGACTTTTTAGCATTAAATAAAAATGATTATGTAAACTTGTATCAACAGTGACTGAAAACCACAAAACCATACAAACTCTTCTACACTTACTGGAAGTTACTTCATTCAGGGCCAGCATTAACATTCACTATACAATATGCACTAACAATTAAATGTTGACTGTACACTCGTTCCTCAACAATGCTTTAGAGTAATTCTGTTGGTATTTTTTGGTAGGTGAGTTTTTAATTACGCAAGCAGCATGGCTCGATGGCAGTGTTGCTCTGTCCAACATTTTGGTCCAGACTGAAATATCTCAACTATCGGAAGGATTGCCATGAACTTTTATAATGATGTTTGTGGCAAGTTTTCATTTATCCAGTGCTCAATAGCTAAAACGCTGAAGTAACACAGTGAACATAGTAAACATTATACCTGCTAAATATCAGCATGTTAGCATAGTCACTGTGAGTATGTTAGCCTTCCACACTAACATGTCAGTCTTGTGTTTACAGCTTGTTTCTGCTGCACCCAAGTGGTAAAACAAAATTGGTTATTGCATGAATTAAAACTGCCTTTAGAACGGTCCACCTTAATGTCCACATCACCAGCAGGACAACTAAACTGAACACTGATAACCAACGTGATACATCACCTCACTGTCTTACATCACTGCCAATTTCAACAATTACTAACCTAACAGGCAAGGTGCACCATATTATATAGTCCCGTATCTAAATTAATAAAGAGAATACAAATGGCATATATGTAGTTACCATTGATTAAATTATGCACATTATTTAAATAAACATGATAATGCACTTTGTGTAAAGATGAAATCCCACCCAAACAATATTCCCATACATCCCAAGCAAACATGTAGCTACAGAGCTACAGCGTCCAGCTTTCATGGGGCGTTCACAGACTTTTCAGCCTTCATTTTCAGCTTTAGGTTCGGCGGCCAGCTCAGCAGTCCCGACTTTCCTTTTTTCACATCCTTTTCTTTTCATTCACTGCATCTGAACTTTATATTCAAAGTCTTGGAGAATATCAGATCACTATTGGATGGCTGGTGCTGCCTGTGGTGGACCAGAGAGTGGCTGGTTAATGTCTTCTGCTCTTTTCTCCTTTTGTCTTCACAAACTGGGTGCCTGTTTTTGCATGAAACCATTTAGATTTACTACAGAGCTCTCCACCAAACAGAATGTAAATGCGTGTCTGATAATGTGGCCATGACAACTCCAACTAGTGACATTTTACTTCTACAGGATCAGAAAAGACTCACCACCTGATGTTCAGAGACTGAAATACAGTGCATCACTCACACAGTCCTGCTTTCAAGGAAGGAAACCTATACAGTCATTGATGATTTTTTAATGTGCATGTGTTTTGAAGGTCACACATATTTTGTCAAATTTTCTGGTGCTCCATTATAAGGTATATATACAGAAGATATCTACTGTCACAAAAAGTGACATTCGTATAAAATTCAGTACATTCATGTAAAGCGGTTGGTTATATAAAAAGCATGTAATTGTTTTAAAGAAGTGAATTAAATCAGAATAAAAAGGACGCTGCATCGCAGTGTGTTAAAACCACAGAAGAGAAAAACTTCTGACTACATCTTCCTGTTTCGGGCGATTATTATACTTTTTTTAAGTAAGTTCTCTTGATGGCTGTGTCTCTGGTGTTATTTTTATATGGTTATGACTGAGGAACTAAACCCTTCTCGCATCGTGGCTTCCTCAGAGTCTGATGCATTTCAGTCCTAGTCTCTGCCAAGTGAGGAAAACCGATCTCTGTCCTGCAATCATTCATGACACACTTCTCATATTACAGGCTTCCACTTAACAGTTGCGCTCTCTCTCTCTCTCTCTCTTTATTAACACATAAACTCAAATTAGGAGTCTTTAAAAACACTGGAGAAAAAAACCCACAATTGTTCCAGGGATGAGATTGTGTGTATGTGCAGGATCAGCAGCTCATTAACTGAACATTCCGGCTTTACATCTTTAAATGGTCACAGCATGTTGTTAGGGACAACACAGACCATGTCTGCAAAATGCCCGATTTCTGGTTCTCATGTGACCTCTGAATTTAAAATATCAAGCCTTGAATTTCACAACTCACCCAAGATGACTACTAAGGGTCTGATCATACTATAACTGTATAAATGATTGTTTTAGCTCAGCTCATCGTCTCCTAAATTGATTTGAAACTTGTCCACAAGATCATTTTGTCCTTAAGCTTGTACTGTAACAAACAAAGGCCAATGAAAATCTAAGAAGATATGAAGCCTTTTAAATCAGTTTTCCATTCCTCATTTTTGTGCGCATCCACTGTAATGCTGGCTGAACACCACAACACCACAGTTTGAACCCCATGAATATGAAAACATTTTCTATCCACATTATTTTCAGTGTTGAATGCTAAAATTAAGTGCAGATTTACATGAAAGGCCTGTGTGGAGGAATGTTTAGATAGATGTCAGCTATTAATTAATGTGCAGGTGTGTGTCTGTGTGTGTGTGTGTAAGGCTACCTGTCCACCCATGCGTCTGTCTTGTATAATAGATGAGCTCAGTATTGCCGTGTTATTCTAACCCTGCAGGAGAAAGAAAGATGGAGAGAGGAATAGAGAGAAAGGAAAAACATATGAATAATTGAGCCCAAATCAGTTTAGTGGCCCTCAGTCCCTTCCTACTCTCAGTGTAATGAAGTCAGTGCCCGCAACTGGATTCTCCAAGAAACTTCTGGATCGGAGAGAAGAAAAGACGCAACCTTGGGCATCTGAGGGAAACCAATACATTCTTCCAAAAGCTTTACCTTTTGATTATCTCTATGACATTTTTTGGAGTAAAGAGCTAGTTGGACTCATCATCATGATACCATGGTGGCCCAATTACTAGGGCTGGCCTTTCTATTTCTACCTACCAACCTGGTCACCTTTACTACATATGGTAAGGGTTTTCCAATGTCTTTGGATTCATTTACACTTATCTGAGTTGCAGTTAAAAATTGGCTTTCTATATAACATGATTTCAATAGTTGATGAACATATTAAGACAAACTAATAGAACTGCTGATAGGGCTGGGTGAAAATGATTTATCATCGACTTTTAGTGGAATCTGTTGTAATTTTCTTTTACAAATTTCAGATTTGAACTATTGCAGAAACTTGATAATGGACGCTGATATTAATATTTAATACTGAAGTTACATAACAATACATACATAAATATATATCTGAGATGAGCAAGTATATGGATATATATATTGTCCTGACCAATTTATCGTTTGATTTTGTTTAATAATGTGTAACATTGGAAAACAGTTAATCGCACTGAAAGTCAATTTGATTATGTGATATGCGATATTTGCACACCTTCTGCCACACTAGGATACAGTATCTCACTTAAAAATATTTATACCAATATTGCGATATTTATTTGAATCGTATCGCCTAAAAGGTCTGTGAGAAGAAAAAAAGAACAGCTAAGGAAGCAAAAGATGGTTGATAAATTGAATATTCCAGGAAATATAATTTGACTAATCCAGTTATCTGTTTTGGAATCCCTTGTTAAACTATTACACAGTGTCTGAAACTTATAGTGTAATCAATCCCGTAACTGAACACTAGCAGGGCACACGACACCACCATCTCCTTTTCCTTCGCACACATAATTTTCCCTGCATGTCTGTGTATCCTCTCCCTCCTCCAGCGGTGCAGATCGATAACAACAAAGGGGAGGTGGTGTACCAGGACACCAGTGTGTATGGGGTGGTGGGAAAAGCGGTAATCCTTGAGTGCGGTACCACCTTACCTGACATGTACATATGGAGCTTCACCAAGCCCGGTACTGAAGCTATAAAAGCTGTGGTGTATGATTTGGGGTATGGGCCGAAGCTCCAGAAGCTGGCCGAGACACTCGGACAGCTGACAGTCATCTCAAACAGTGCAGCTGTGAGCATTGAGAAACTGCCTCTGGCTGCTCATGGCCTCTTCACCTGCCAGGCCTTCTATGACATAGAAGTGGAGCCCAAAGTCTACTACTACTACGTGCACCTCACTGTCCGAGGTAAGAATCCCTACACTGTGGAACACTTTGTCTGAAACCACCCTGTTATTCCATCTTTGATAAACAAAATCTGCATGTTTCCAAACACTACTTAAACACACCTGGACGCTAGAGCTCAACTAAGGCCAACACCCATCCATATTCAAAAACCTGAGAACAATATATCAATATTATTTTTTCCTACTTAAATGCATGACATAAACAAACTTTTTTGATAAGGATCCAGGTGTGATGAAGAAGTTCCCTGATACTCACAATGACTTACACATCACTGTTTATTGACACTTTGCTGAAGAGACTGGTACCCGCACACAGCGTGGAAACAAAACCAAATCTCACAAAACCATCTTTTATTTCTCCCTCTGTATTTCCCCTAGTGTCTGTAATTTTTTCCTACCATATCGTCTTTAAATTACTTAAATCAGAACAGCCAACTGACGTTTAACTCAAGTGCGTTACCGTCTAATGAAAACTTTTGGTCTCATGTACAACAGAAGAAGCAGAAGAAACAGTCTGACACACATCCGATGAGCAAAAATAAAATCATTCCATTGCAACACAGTCACCACCAAGTTGATGCAGATGCAATCACTGTTGATGGCTTTGGTATCTGGGCTAAATATGTATCACTTCCAAACAATGGGTGGAGTAGTCAGTTCAGGCCTTGGTGTAGCTCGGCTGTGACTCTGCTGAATGGTTTTCTTAATGGAATAGTTCAACACTTTAGAATAAACACTTAAAAGGTAAAATGACATACATATATTTTCTGACCATATGTGTTCTTAACCTGCTTTAGAGACAGTAAACATACCTAAGCGTGTGACTTTGTCTTGAATACAGTTCCCGTCAGTAAACCTTACCTCTTGATCAGTGACGCATCACCAGTGGAAGGATCTACAATGTGGATGCGCTGCAATCTGGACAATGGGACTGGACCGATCCAGTATGTGTGGCAGCATGAAACACGCAGTGGCAACA